ACGCTCGGGCGCGAACAGAGCAGAATAAAGAGCGGAATGATAAACGATGGGAGGTGAGCGGGAGTGATTTAAGAGTTACGGAGCGGACGCATAAAGGAAAAGGCTATCGGAGGATATTTTGAAATTTCCAAAAAAAGTCTCCCGCTGTGGGACGCGAATTTGGGGGGATGGGGACCAGAGTGAGTGATGCGGGAGAGGCGAGCGGGACCTATTCAACTTATTCAACTTCAACTTATTCAACTTCAGAAATCAAACGGGACTGATCCATGAAGAGCACGGAGCGGGGAAGCGAGGGGGACTGATCCAAGAGCACGGATCCAGGAAGACGCTCCGACACGAAGAAAGAGACATGGGGAGCGGGGTGAGTGATGGGGGGAAGTGAACGGTTTTTGAGGAGGCGAGCGGCTTTTGGGGAACGAGCGGGATTAATCCATGACCACAGATAGAAGGATCCGGCGTGCCGCCTCGCGTGAAACAGGAATTCCATCGGATCAACCTCTCGACGCACAACGACTTGCCACCTATCTCTAGCGTGAACGATTTCTGAGAAATCTAAAATATCGGCTCACAACAAATCTCCCCCTATCTCTCGCTTTTCCCCCCTTCCCCCCGCGCGCGCAAAGCAAGCGAGTCATCGGATCGACTACGGCGCACGACATATCGTATCTCCCCCTCCTTTCGCCCCTTCTATCGCTCTCGCGTGGGACAACAGTTTTCGGAACGACCTACGCATAGCTGTAGAGGGTGCGACCGTGTGACCAGTGCGATCAGTGCGACAGATCCCAGTGCGATTGACTGACCACAGTGCGATCAGTGCAACAGATCCCAGTGCGAAAGACTGAGCACTGTACGATCAGCAAGACGGACTGACCTCAGTGCGACGGACGGCACGGATCCCGCACGTTGCCTCGCGTGGAGCAGCAGTCGCATCGCCATGGCGAATTCCTTTCTATGAGCAGCGCAACATCACGACGGTTAGGCTGGTGATCGCCGCGCTTCAGTGCGACGTCGCACTGCGACGAGGAGCAGGGGAAGAAGGACGAAATGCAGTTCGTTGCGACGAGATTGTGAAGTGAGTAAAATCGTAGGTACCCCTACGCACCCCCACAAAATAGAGCACGGCCCATTGGTTGTTACGATGGTCGTAGATTCCTAGCAGAAACACGCCAGCGCTGTCCGTGATGCAGGAAGGCGGGAATGGAAGAATGCTCTTGAGACACGTTTCCTCTGATCAGTCTGGGCACTCATCACCGCAGCACAAAAAACTCTTTTGCAGGCTGACGCGTTGCGCTATTGATACAGAATGTCTTTAGACGGATAAATGTTCATTATGAATCTCTCTACAAAAAAATCACAGAAACGAGAAAAACGTGCTCAGCAGGACTCGAAAGCGCGGGCAGAGCCCAACAGATTTCTAGTCTGTCCCGTTAACCACTCCGGCATGAGCACATGTTTACGACAAAGACAAAATTGATAATTATTTGCGATCCAGCCTGCTCGTCAAAACATCATCTCGCCAGTCGCTTATCCACTTCTCAGTCAGCCATGGCCGTCGCAATGGCCGCTTCGGGTAGTCTGGCCGGTCTATCAATGCGACTAAACGCCGGTAGCAATCTCAAGAGCGTTTCTCGCTCCAATAGTATCAGCCATCCCGCCCCGTTCCGCCTACCGGTTCGTCGCCGTATAGTTGGCTCCCTCGAGCCAATTGCGTGTTCCAAGCGGGAATCACGGCCTTCTGAAGCTGCTTCTGCTGCTTCAAAGCCCCCAGCGTCTCTTTCAGCAGAACCCTCGCAACGCGCCGTCCTTCCCCAGGTCGCGGCAGCAGAGAGAGATTCCTCCAACTTCTTTCTTTCCGTACTAGCACTTTCGCTCGGAACCTCCGCTTTAATCACATTCGCCGGTGCGGGACCCGCCGAAGCCGCCGATGCAGCCGCCGCGACCGTCGCCGCCGCCAGCGGAAGCGGAGCCGATTTACCGTCGTCTCTCCTCTCGGCCGCGTTGGGATCGTCTGTGCTTGACCTACATTCTTCGTTAGGATTAGGGTTGGGGTCCGCTACAACCCTCGCTTTCATCCCTACTGGTCCGCTGATGAGCGAGTTTTGGGACAATGTTGGCCGATTCGTGATCTACTTTTTCACGGTTTTTACGGGAGGGCTTTACAGTCTCGTCAAGCCGATCGTGGATCTGTTTAAGAAGCCGACGACGGCGGTTTTGGTGGTGCTGGTGCTGGGAGGAGGGTTTTACGTCACGTATCTCACTCTGTCCGCGATGCTCGGAATGGACGGCTCGGATCTCCCACTTGATGGTTACTGAAGGGGAGCGGTAGGATGATGGGAGCATGTTGTTGTAATCGTTGATGGCTGTAGAAATCTGTTGTTTAGCGTAAGCAAATCCATGTACTCTGAATCTTCTTACTTTTCTTTTCAGTGTAGCACTTTACTAAGTGCGGGTTTTGCTCAACAGGCTTGACGCTTTGTGCCACTAAGTTCTTTCAGCGTGCGAATGCTGCAGTGGGGCCAGCTCCGTCATCTATGTTTGTACCATGAATATGCACATGCAAATAGAGATTGCAATGCACCATGGCTCTCCCACTCTACTCATCTCACTCTCATTCTCACTCCCTCATGCTTTTCTTCTCCAACCATCTCAGTATTCCTTTCCCCCTCCCTCTCCCTCTCCCTCTCCCTCTCCCTCTCCCTCTCCCTCTCCCTCTCCCTCTCCCTTTCCCTCTCCCTCTCCCTCAACCTCTCACTTTCCTTCTCCCTCTCTTTCCTCCAACGTTCCGACGCTCTATGGCCTTTCCCTCCTCCCTGTATCCTCTAATTTCGCTGTGATTCTATATCCACTTCCCCCCCCCTCCTCCTTCCATTCTCCATCGTTCTCTTCCTTCAGACTGCCTGCTTCTCTTTTAACCCTCACTCTTCCTGGCTTCACTCCCTTCCCCCTCCTTCCACTCTCCATCGTTCTCTCCCTACACCCCCCCCCCCCCCCCCACCACTTCTCCTTAAATCACGCACCTTCCTCTTTCCATTCTCTACCTTACTCTCCCTTCATTCCTCCCTTCCCACTTTTCCCCTTCCCTTGGCCCATCCCCTTCAATCGCTCCATTCCCTCCCCTCTCCCTACAGCCCACCTGCTTCTCTTTCCCCCCGCCACTTCTCGTTTAATCGCACACCTTCCTCCTTCCATTCTCTACCTTTCTCTCCCTTCATTCCTCCTTTCCCCCCTTGCCCCATCCCTTTCCCTTCCTCCATCCCCTTCCTCGCCCCATTCCCTCGCCTCTACCTACAGTCCGCCTGCTTCTCTTTTCCCCTGCCACTTCTCCTTAATCCGTGTACCTTCCTCCTTCCGTTCCCTACCTTTCTCTCCCTTCATTCCTCCCATCCCACTTTTCCTTCCCTCCCGTGCCCCATCCCCTTCCCTCGCTCCATCCCCCTCCTCGCCCCAGTCCATCCCCTAGCCCCATCCCTTTCCCTCGCCCCATTTCCTTCCCTCCTGTTATTTTTCGTCGCACCATTCTGTTCCCTCTTCTCGGTCACTTCCTTTCCTCGACCCAGCTGCTTCTTCTTTCTTCCCTGAATTCACTCATCTGGCACTTACACCCACATACCGTACCCACATACGGTACCGCCCTTTATGCAGTCAGCTACGGTACAGTAGTTCCTTTCAACATCCTGCACCATTCCTCTGTAACACACACTGCTCTAATTTAACAAGTCTACCAGCTTTGCATTTTCACCCTTGCACGGCACTGACACATCAAGGTTGGAACTTCATAGTTTTTCTGATCAGGCAGCATTAACAATAAGCATGAGGTGAGGAGGAGAAGCGTGCATCTAGGACAACAACCAGCAATAATCAGCGTGGATGGATGTTGCTCCGCAGAACAGTGAGGCAAATAGTGAGTACGGTACCGTACCAGTCAACAACATCGTTGACGGATAGTGCAGTGGGCTCAAATGTTGTCAGCCACTAAAGCACAATCCTGCCATCTCAGTTTAGTCAGCAACTCCTCAAGTGACAGTGGATCTCTGCCTCCTTTGACTGGGTTACCAGTGCAAACAGAAACCTGGAATTTCTCAAGTGTGAAAGTCTTCTTTCCATCTTCTTGAAGCCCAACTCTGATATCAATCTCCATGAGGCTGAAGACGAAGCTGGTTTCCCCATTCGCGCAGGTCATTTGATGACACAAAACCATGAAGACGTTGGGCTCCTTGGATTCCATGGCGTACGTGAAGTGGTTTTTTTGCCCAAATAATGGAGCCAGCTTCTGAGACGATGTATTGAAAATGGCAGAAGTGAGTGTCATGTTTGCTTCCAGATATTGGACAATGTCGCACTCCTCGCTGTCATTCAGATCCATCACAGCACCTGGTGTCAGATTAGCTGCCAAGGTCGTGTGCCTTTCCTGGCTCTTGCACTTTTGAAGTGGATGCGCAATAGAGAGGACATTGCTCCCCTTGCATCTGATATCCAGGAGTACCACTGACGTTTCCACCTGAGGGGTGAAATCATCAGGCACATCGGAGGCACTGAAACTGAAGCAGCACGCCGTGAAAAGCCGTCGGTAATCAACGTCGTTAGTGAGCTCGAATGTCTTCAACGAGGGAAAGTGTTTTCTGCATTTCTCTCTCCACACACTCTGACTGTAGGCGATTCTCTTGAAATCCTTGCACACAAGAGAAAAGGATATCACGTCTGACGGGGGAAAGTACTGCGTGCAGAGGCTTTCCCATAAATGATGAGGCACAAACGACCGACGCTTTTGTGACCTCAAGCTCTTCGCCATGGAACCAAAATGGCTTGAAGTCAGGAGCTATCCACGCGAAGGGCGAGGCGGCTTCACAGAGATACCGTACAAAACTAAAAGGGCTTGCCCGGTCAATATGATCCATTTTCCACTTAAAACTCAGTCCTAGCTCTCGCCTCGGGGTTTCGTTTCCTGAGTTCTCAAGGTCGAGGGACATTCTGTCGACAATGAATCGCGCATGTTAGTCGAACGGTAGAGATAACCTCGAAAGCACATCGAGCTTAGCAGATTCACGCACATATCCTGGAGAATGGCTCGGAGAAGACATCGAGAACATCTCGAGAATGTCTGGTGGGGGATGATAAATCTACGAAACTGGAGATTCACCAGTTCGGAGTTGGTTATTGAGGTAGAGCCTTGGTGGTCACGCTCACGAAGATGGAAAATTGGATCTGACTTCGCCAAGCTCGCAGAAGGCAAAGATGTAATCGCTGGGATGGGTTTGATGGGCACAAGGAGCCCATCGCCTGGTAACCATTTCATGACTAGCAGGTGATGCATTTTAGCGAAACAAAGTGCTCCATCTCCCTTCCACCAAACTTTATCAAATTTGCAAAACCAAAAGCTGAAACCAGCAACAATATCTAGGTTCCACCAAAGGAGACTCCTCCTCTTCTGTCCGCTAACTCACATCCCTAGGGTTAGCCAAGATTAGACGTCTATTTACTAGGGTTTTCACTGCGTCAATGGGTTCAGATCGCCCATCAAATGTGCTCGTATGTTAACCAGAAGCTTGGAAACCAGCAAGGGGTTTGTCGAACTGAATTTCGAAGGAATTGAAACAGTTTCTCTGCTCGCGTGATTTTCCCGGATTGACCGCCCAGATTTATCAGCCGTTGAGACCTGTGTCAGTTTCATTCTCCGGTTTCTTGGTAGATCTGCTGCCGTGAAGCCCGGGGTTGTCTGTTGTTGATTGCCGAGCACAAGGATCAGCACCAAGATGATGAAGAGAGACACCAAGGCGATGCGAATCACGTCGAATGACCTTGCTGATTTCTGCCAAGCGCAACTTACGCACTGACAGTCGTTATGCTGCGCTGCTGAACGTTCAGATCTGACTGATGCGTCGGATTGGATGGGAGAGGGTGAGGGAATCGAGTCTAATGTCGTGTTCGCCTCTGACCCCATTTCGGAATACTTCGCGTGGATGATGTTGTGACGGTGTCGTTGTGCTGGCTGGAACTCCGCCGCAAACACGCAGCAACGCTGGAAGAATTACAAATGAATCCGATGTTTGCAAAGAAAACCCTCGCCAGCGATTGTTCTCGGGTATCTCGAAACTAAGAAATATACGTGACGACGAGGAAACGAACCCGTTTCGTCAATGCTCAGTGCTCACGTTATCTCGAGGCTGTCTTGTTCGAGGCGTTCTCTCAAGGCCCACCTTGTCTCGAAGAACAAACACGAACTTGTTGCTCGTATTTATGTTTCATTGATGGATATTATTTTAGAGCCAGTCCCAGTCAACGGACCAGTGCTGGAGTTGAAAGTGAGGACTGCAGGCGACGAGTCGTGGCGTGGACTTGGTCGGTCTCGCCGTCGCTGACTAATCAACTATTCCAAGGAAAAAGCAGGACCAATTGCTGGTCTGGTGAGTTTGTTGCAGAACGCGCTAACAGCACATGCTTTTTACCATCAGTCTATTTGAAAATTTATCATAAGCCATAACACGATAATTCTTGATTTCTGTTGCCAGAAAATTGCAGGCGGCGTTCATCACTAAGAAAATGGAACAGCGAGATCTATAGCACATTCAGGGTTTAGGGTTTATGGTAACTACCGGCTAAAAATCAGGCACCATTTATGATTGGTTCCAGACTACCACAAATTTGTTAGCAACGAAATACACAACAGCATGCATCCTATCCTAGTGTTGTTGAGTCCAAGCTGGTGATTCATTAGCAGCAGGAGCAGAGGCAGGCCCTACGTGTTGCCTCGTGAAGCAAAGGGCGAGATTGCGAAGGCGGGGATTGGGGCAGGATTCGGCAGCAAAGCAGTTTACGCGTTCAAGCAGGCTGGAAGTCAGAATTACTGTCGAATATGGGGACACGGGGATGAAGATAGTGAACCCTGGAAAATTATTTGTGCAAGAAATGCACTACCATAGGCAGGCACTGCACTGCAATGGAAGTGTACTTATACTGGTGCATGGATGGTTTGGCATACATACATACATGATCGGGTGCGAGGAGTGCAAATGAAGTAAAGGCAGGCAAGCGCAGACAAGGCCTGGAGGAGAGGCCAACAGAGGGGAAGAAATCAAGCGACAGGAGGAGTCACGTATGAAAATCTCAGTAAATTTAGTCACTGTACGAACAGCAATAGACAGAAGGAAAACAGAGAGGAAGAAATTATGTTAAGAGTTTGAAACATGGCAGGCTAGGCAGACTAGAACTTAGACATGCACAACCGAAGGGAAAGAATGCAGACAAGACCATGACGGCAAATGTAATGAACTGTACTTGTGTTGCTGTTTGCTATCAACTTGAAACGTGCATTCCATCACGTACAGTGCTCTCAACTGGACTCGATAAGCAATCTACTATAAGAGGGATGTTGTCTGCAGTGGCAATCGCTGATGCATTGGCTGTATCTGTGGAAAGTGCGGAAAGGGTAAAGGCATTGGAAGATAATTGACTACATTAACGTTGAATTGTTAATCATTGTCGAGACTAGCTGTTGATTAGCAAGTCTGCCAATGCTCAAGGCAGTGAGTTGCATGCAGAATGGATTCAAAGGACTTCCTCCTTCATGTCCGTTTCTTGTCCACATAAAAAAACATTTCACTTCCTCTCCCATACGCAAACCCCTGCACCCTCGCACCTGCGGCAACGTTACAGAGCCCTCCCATCCCGAAATCAACGAGCTTGGCATTCTCCTCAGTCAAGCAGTCGAGGAAAAGCTCCAACACGTTCAGCTGGGCTTAGAATGAAAGGGGGCATGGCAGACAGAAGACGCAGATGCAGGGAGGAAGGTAAGGGATACGTTTCACTGCCTCTTGTTCATCAAGCGTAACATTCTCCCTGGTCAAACATTCGAGAAAGAGCTCCAACACGTTCAGCTGGGCTTGATATGAAAGGGGGCATGGTAGACAGAAGACGCAGATGCAGGGAGAAGGTAAGGGATACGTTTCAGTGCCTCTTGCTCATCGAGCTTTGCATTCCTCCTCAGTCAAAGAGCCCAAAAAGAGCTCCAACACGTTCAGCTTTGCATTCTCCTCGGTCAAACAGTCTAGAAATAGCTCCAGAACGTTAAGTTGGGCTTAAGATGAAAGGTTGACGGAATGGCACACAGGATATGCAGATCCAGATGCAGGGAGAGGAGAGGAGGGGAGAACACATGGAAGTGGATGAAAGTAAGGTGAATGGTTTATGGATAGACTCAAACTTAGATGAAGTGCCAATGCCAAGCTCCAGACACTTCACATCGGAAACAAAGATAGCAAGTCGGGAAAAAAATACTGCGGTACAGTCACATCCATGTACGTAACAAGCAGCACACCCACCCACCGTGATTAGGCTCATTACAATATAAATTGGGTCTCATAACTTTGGGGCCCTCAATACACTCACACACCCACCCAGCTACAACCATGCAGCTTGTGCAAATAGTCACACTTGATCGGGTCATAAGCACAATTGCTCAAAATCTGGCTGTAAGAGGTGTCAAGTCAATGTGATCACACCCACACAGCTACATTCACACCAACACACAGTCGAAATATCACCTTGCGAAAGCACCCATAGCTGATCAGGTGATAGTCATAGGAGTCACAGGCAAAACTGGCCAATTTTCTAATAAGACAGTTCGATACAGTCTCGCAGCTCTAACACAGATCACACAGATTCGATACGATTACAACCAGAAAGCTATAATCACCTTGCGTAGGCAATCATAGTCGATGGGGTCACAGGCGGTTGCCATGTATGCAACGTCAACCACTCACCTTGCGCAGGAAATCATAGTTGATCGGGTCATAGGCAAAATTGGATAGGTTAGCACAGAACATCGACGGCTTAACATAGTCACACCCACCCGTCAAAACAGTAACACCCAGACAACGTCAACCACTCACCTTGCGTAGGTAGTCATAGTTGATCGGGTCATAGGCAAAATTGGATAGGTTAGCACAGAAAGTCGACGGCTTAACATAGTCACACGCACCCATCAACACAGTCACACCCGGACAACGTTAACCACTCACCTTGCGCAGGTAGTCATAGTTGATCGGGTCATAGGCAAAATTGGATAGGTTAGCACAGAAAGGCAACGTCTTAACATAGTCACACGCACCCATCAACACAGTCACACCCGGACAACGTTAACCACTCACCTTGCGCAGGTAGTCATAGTTGATCGGGTCATAGGCAAAATTGGATAGGTTAGCACAGAAAGGCAACGTCTTAACATAGTCACACGCACCCATCAACACAGTCACACCCGGACAACGTCGACCACTCTCCTTGCGTAGGTAGTCATAGCTGATCGGGTCATAGGCGACATGCAGTAGCTCAGCTTCGAGAAGACTCAAAACAGTAACACCCACACATCGTCAACCACTCACCTTGTGTAAGTAGTCATAAATTGATCGGGTCATAGGCAATATTGGCCAGGTTGCTTCAATAAGACGTTTCAATCACACAGGTTCAACAATCACACAGCTTCGATACAGTCACCTATAATCACCTTGCGCAGGTGGTCATAGTTGATCGGGTCGTAGGCGAAATTGGCCAGGTTAGCAACAATCTGTTCTTTTGCTTCTGTTAGCAATGGAACCAAGGGAACAGGGTGAGTGCGTGTGTGCAGTGGTGAGGCGAGGAGGAGGGGGAGGTTAGCAACAATCTGCTCCTTAGCTTCTGCTAGTAATGGGAGGGAGGGGACAGGATGAATGCTTGTTATGTGTATGAGGACGGAGGTGGAAAAATTTGCTAGGTTAGCAACAATCTGCTCCTTAGCTTCTGCAAGTAATGGGAGGGAGGCAACAAGGTGAGTGCTTGTTATGTGTGTGTGCATACAAGGGGGACGTTATGGCCGAGCGGGAGGACGGAGGTGGAAAAATTGGCTAGGTTTGCAACGATCTGCTCCTTAGCTTCTGCTAGCAGTGGGAGGGAGACAGGAGGAAGCAGGTTCCAAGGAGTGAGCAAGTTGATTGCGTGTGTGTGCGAGTGGGAGGTCGGGAGGGAGAGGGAAGGCATGGGGAAGAAGGCGGATGTATGGGGATGGATGGGAGAGGAGGGAGGAAGAGATAGAGAATCGTGAAGTGAGGGGGGGGATCGGGGAGGAGGTTTAAGAAAGACTGACCAGGTTAGCAACCGCCTGCACCTTAGCTACAGCCAGCAGCTTGTGTCACAAGGAAGTGTTACTTCGAAAATTCTCAAGAGTGACACGAGGAAGTGTCAGGAAAACTGACCAGTTTAGCGACCGCCTGCACCTTAGCTTCAGCCAGCAGCGAGTGGAGGTGGTTGGTGTGTGGTACTTAAGTGAGAGTGCGCGTGTTGGGTGCATGCATGCGTGGGGGAGAGAGAGGAAATCGATTCGGAACAAAAGTCGCACACACAGAGGGAAAATCAGCTTCTTAACTTCTGCTGTGAGCGAGAGAGAAGAAGGATAATGTGCATGTTGTGTGTGTGCAAGTGACAGGGAGGTGGGGGAGAAGAAGGGTATAAGGGGATGGGAGAAGAGGGTAGGTGGGAGTTGGAAGAGAGGAAACGGGGGGAGGGAGGAGCGGGACGAGGTAAAGGAAGATTAGGGCAGAGGAGGGGAAAAGCAATAACAGAGGGGAAGAGAGGGGACACCAATGAAAATGCTGCGCCAACAGCAAGGCAAAAAGCAAGCACAACGTATTTGTTTCACCTTTGTTTTGGGTGGTTCTGAACCCAGTGAGATAAAGCAAGCAACTTTTGAGGCGCCTCAAAACTCTTTTATTAGAGGATTGCACCTACCCACACTTCATTCAAGTCGCACCTTCGTTTTGGGTGGTCTGGAATTCAGTCACCAATGCCTGTTCCGACGAAGCGAGAGGGGAACAAGTGGAGGGCGGAAGGAGAGAGCGGAGTTTAACGGCAGGAAGTGAGAGGTGAGGAAGGGAAAGGGTTGCTCGCAAAGATGATTGGCACAGTGAGACAGAGGAAACAAAAAAAGGACCATGATATGTAGTTGGAGAAAACGCCGCAACCCTGCCTGACCTCGACATCCTGAGGTTCGATATTTGCAGCCCTGCAGTTGGAAGGGAAGAATTTGTATGATATTTTTAAGAGGTGCCTCAGTTACCTGCCTGACCGCAATCTTCTGAAGTTAACATGCCTGACGTCATGCTAACGCAGTTCTGACGAGCAAAACGGGATTTTGCATGACGGAAGCAATCCCGGACGCCGGACGGATTCTGAGTCGTGTTTTGAGTCGACTCAAAACACAACGGATTCTGAATGTACACTGACGAGTCCTACCCGAAGGTACTCAAGACGTGGTGACCTGCTCATCCTACCCCTTGACCTCCGACCTCCTGAGCAGACACTTAATCCCCGAGTAGAATCCCAAACAGGCTCCAAATCCCGGAGTGTACTCTGACCAGTCCTACCTGAAGGTACTCTAGACGCGACGTGCCGCTCCTCCCCTGTCTCCTACCCCTTGCACCTCCTACCTCCCGAGCACACTGGTAATGCCGAGCAGACTCGTAAGTTGTTGTGATCCCGGAGTGTGCACCGACGAAGCCCACCTGAAGGTACTCAAGACGAGGTGACTTCTGAGTCGACTCGAGAGTCACCAGAATATGCCAACAAATTCTACCTGAAGGTGCTCAAGACGCGACGTGCCGCTCCTCCCCTGTCTCCTACCTGGACGTCCTACCTCCACAACACACACAGACTCTGAGCACACTGGTAGTACCGGGCAGACAACAACCTGTGGACCCCGAATAGAATGCAACGAATCTTACCTGAAGGTGCTCAAGACGCGACATGCCGCTCCTCCCCTGTCTCTCCGTCAATCGCGCTGCCGTGCTAAACATGATCAGGCGTGTTGGACGCGCGTTTTACTCTCGAAAGCGTTCCGCTCTGGTGAACCTATGACGTTCCACTCCTTCCCTGTCTATCGGGCAATCTCGCCGCCGTGCTAAACATGGCCTTGCGACTTCGAATCGTGATATGATCCCGAGGCGCTCCGCTCCAGCCAGCCTACGACGTTCCGGTCGCCTGCCGTATCTGCTTCATTCAACCGCGCCGCGTTTCGCTCCCGTGGTAGTCATAACTGTAGAGGCGATCCGATCCTTGAGGCGCCTGATTCAACCTACGACGTTCCGCTTAGCCTACGACGCTTGGATTGTCTCTGGTGGTCTCACCTATATTCGAGCGAACCGCATTACTTCTGAGACGACTCAGAAAGGATCAGCCTACGACGCTCTGATAGACTCTGCATTCATTCAACCGAGCCGCCTTTTGAGCAGCCACGAGCGTCGCTGCGGTGCTCAACATGAAATCCCTTCTGGAGAACACGGCGGGTCTGCTTCCTGCTTCCTGCGTCTAGAGATATCAACACTCCCAGCAGAACATGGCGGGTAACGGTCGAGATGTCAGGATGGCAAGAGCTCTGTTTGTGCGTGGACCTTTATTGAGGAATTCGTTTACACGCAATGATCGCCTATTGTGTTGAAGCAAGGGCATTGCTTAAAGTTGAAAACGTGCTGCCTGGTGGGCTGGAGGGACCACCTCAATCACGCCATGTCAGGAGGCCTGAAAACCACGACTTCCGATGGTGATGGCTCCAGTTCATTGGGCAATCAAAATCTGATTTGTCGTGGAGCTGACGCGGCAATTGGTAAAAAGCTCCTGACCGTAGACTTGTTCACGCATTTCATTGGAAGCGCGCTCTCCGAATACAGGCTGCGTGGCAAGGCCATGGTGTGGCTTTCTAGACACGCCTGACACTCCCCAATCTGCAACCCGCGAGTTTCAAAATTCGTTTCAACAAATCCAGGGGACTAGGGAGCTGATATTTATCTAAGTTCGAGAGGTTCGATTATGATTGCTGGCTCGCTAAGCGTCAAATCACACTGCATGATTTCGTGTGTGTTTTGCAGGTGTACATCCAAGCCCTGTCAACAAAGAGAATTCACAAGCTCCAGTATACATTTGTCAGTGAGGTTCAGGGTTTTACATTGTGCGTCACAGTTTTGGGGCAACTTTTCAAGTTCCTAAGGATTTTGAACCCCTACTTTCAAATGTATACCGGAGCTTTAATATATGTACTCGAATTTAGGAAATGTTTGCGGAATCAGCAAGGATTACGAAGACCCGTTCATTGAGCTCAATTGCGCTCGCTGGTTTCAAACAGAAACCATGCTGGAGCTGACGCGGAGTGGGGACCACAGCCGCAACGGTCACACCTCCTATCCAACCGTCGATCACCGCGATCAAAACCTTCAACTACCCTCCAACTCCCGTTCCGATCACCAGCAGTTTTGAAGGGTGACAGAATGCATTGAGACCGCTGCTTTCTCGAGCCGCCGATACCAGCAGCGGATAAGCTGATGCTGGCTTTCCTGTCCCTCAGCCTCAGGCGGTAGTGGCGGCGGCAGGAAGGCTTTGGCTCACCACCAAGCTCGAAACCTGGCGGCTGACTAATCCCAAGGTCAGGTCCCGTCAGTCACCCACGCACGCCAGTTTTCCTCTCACCTGCTGTGCGTGTTGACTGAGGCTCAGTCAGTGAGGCTAAATCTCTTCAAAGGCTCAAAACAACCAGTTCTGGGGCTCTTTCTCGCTGCATTTGCCTTCGTCCGGTTCTAGGACAGAGGGAAACTCGTCCGTACGCAGCGTCAGCCAGATAGACGGAATCATTGGAGGCCGTCTGGAATACTGTTAGCCGGTGACGGACCGAGGTACATGCCGGTTGGAATACTGCTCCGAGCCATGCGTCTGGTCTAGCCTAGCTGCGGATTCAGCTCCCTTGGTCCTTAATCCAGCTCGCTTGGTCGTTATTTGGTTCACTGAACCAGCAGCAGGCCGCCACAGACGCCGTGAGAGTGCGTCGCGTCGCGTTTAGCGTTGTTCGCCGCCGCGTTTCTCATTCTTCGTCGCGTTTCGCATTCTTCGCCGCGTCTCGCATTCTTCGTCGCGTTGCGCATTCTTCGCCGCGTCTCGCATTCTTCGTCGCGTTGCGCATTCTTCGCCGCGTCTCGCATTCTTCGTCGCGTTGCGCATTCTTCGCCGCGTCTCGCATTCTTCGTCGCGCTTCACCGCGTTGTTCGTCGAGGTTCCAAAGACCGGGCGTTCGGCCACAGTAGGACGGCTGTTCACTTTTCCAACAAATGGCGTCGGACGGAGGCGCGGCGGGGGAGGATCCGTTGTGCGTGGAGCTGCCAGAGCGGCTGGCCATCCTGCCGTTCCGCAACCGCGTGCTGCTGCCGGGGGCCATCGTGCGAATCACGTGCTCCGACCCCAGCAGGTGGGTAGGGAGTCATCCCGAGGCCCAGTATACCAGGGGCAGGCAGCACATGAGGCTCTGCTATGCATGTAACACATTGGTGCGGCTGGCCATCCTGCCATACCGCAACCGCGTGCTTCTGCCGGGGGCCATCGTCCGAATCACCTGCTCCGATCCCAGCAGGTGGGTGGAGCTACACCCACTGTGTGTGAAGGTGTAGCATAGCATATGGGGGACAGCATATGATGCATCCGCTGTGCGTGGAGCTCCCAGAGCGGCTGGCCATCCTGCCGTACCGCAACCGCATACTGCTGCCGTGAAGGTGCAGTGCAATATACCAGGGGCAGGTAGCACATGAGGATCCGCTATGCGTGGAGCTGCCAGAGCGGCTGGCCATCCTGCCGTTCCGCAACCGCATACTGCTGCCGTGAAGGTGCAGTGCAATATACCAGGGGCAGGTAGCACATGAGGATCCGCTATGCGTGGAGCTGCCAGAGCGGCTGGCCATCCTGCCGTACCGCAACCGCATACTGCTGCCGTGAAGGTGCAGTGCAATATACCAGGGGCAGGTAGCACATGAGGATCCGCTATGCGTGGAGCTGCCAGAGCGGCTGGCCATCCTGCCGTACCGCAACCGCATACTGCTGCCGTGAAGGTGCAGTGCAATATACCAGGGGCAGGTAGCACATGAGGATCCGCTATGCGTGGAGCTGCCAGAGCGGCTGGCCATCCTGCCGTACTGCAACCGCGTGCTTCTTCCCAGCGCCATCATCCGAATTACGTTCTCCGACCCCAGCAGGTGGGTGGAGAGTCGTCCTGAGGGTGTGGTGTATGGGGGGTAGGCATCAGCACCTGAGGCTCCGCTGTGCGTGGAGCTGCCAGAGCGACTGGCCATCCTGCCGTACCGCAACCGCGTGCTTCTGCCGGGCGCCATCGTCCGAATCACCTGCTCCGACCCCAGCAGGTACTATAGGTCGAGTCGTGTAAGTCCACATGCTACCTAGCTGGTACGGTAGAGGCGTGTGAATCCCCCGACGTTCTACGCTGTCTGGCGCCATCGTCCGAACCACGTGCTCCTGAGGATGTAGCATGTGGGGGGTGGTACATAGTGCCTTGTAGTGCTGCTGCTGGGCGCCATTGTCCGAGTCATGTGCTCAGTCCCCAGCAGGTCCCTCGTCTGAGTCTTTACCCATGCTCCCGCTTGCCCCTCCACGTGGCAGCGTGCGGTTGGTGGAGCAGGAGCTGTGGCAGAAGGAGAAGCCCGCGCTGATTGGGATTGTACCCGTTATAGAGCCTGCTGGTTCGGGGGATGGCACTGGCAGCAGCGGTGCTGCTGCTAGGGGCAGTGCTGCTAATGGCGGTGATGGAAATGCGGAAGGAGGAGCAGGAGGGACTGGGGAGAAGGCAGGGGGAGGGGAAGGGGCGGCAGATGGAAAGGCGGTAACGCGCGTGTGGGGGCCCGCTGGGCCAGAGGAGGTGACGGGGGCGACGGCGAAGCTTCTGCTGGAAGACGTGGGCTGGCACCCCAGGTGGGTTGGGTTGGTTCAAGTCAAGGTATGGTTGAGTGGTGCAGCTGAATGCTTGCAGGCAGAGGGGAGGCTGGGTCGACTAGATGCTGCGGCTGCTGCTGGAAGACGTGAAATGGCACCCCAGGTGGGTTGAAGCGGCTTCAAGCTGCTTCAAGTGAAGGTATGGTACAGTGGTGCAGAGGAATTCTTGCAGTCAGGGAGGAGGTGACAGGGGGGACAGCGAGGCTGCTGCTGGAAGACGTGAACTGGCACCCCAGGTGGGTTGCTGTGGCTTCGAGTCAAGGGACGTGGCAGCATGGCCATTGCATGTATGTAGCTAAGGTATCCACTTTCTCTTCTCATCCAAATCCGTGCATACCTCGCTCTCTCCCTCGCTCCCTCCCTCCTTCCTTCCATGTACCCCCGACCCCTTCTCTCCACAGGGGCGTGGCAGGATGGACGCTGCATGCGACTTTTGAGGCGCCTCAAGACTCGCTCCCTCCCTCCTTCCTTCCATGTTCCCCCCAATCCTTCTCTTCACAGGGGCGTGGCAGGATGAGCGCTGCATGTGGCTAAGCACGTCGTGAGGCCTTCCCTTTCCCCCTTCCCTTGCCCCAGTCTCATTCAGTGAAAAGTAAACCTCCTTCCCTCCCTCCCTCCCTCCCGCCCTCCCTCCTTCCATGTCTGTTTTGGCCCCTTCTCTTCCCCCGGGGGTGTGGCAGCACGGGCGCTGCACTTGGCGAAGGGCGTGGAGAGGCCCACTGGCCGAGCTACGTACACAGCTGTGCTGTACCTGAGTTGACCTTTTATCGGTGTAGGCGGTTTTTTCCTCGGCGAGCTGCAGGTGAGTAGATGATATATGAATAGAATACGAGTCGGCTTCGTTACGTCAGCTTTGAGGCGCCTGTAAACTCACCTCAATTCTCAGGTGAGTAGATGCTATATGAATAATTGCGAGTAGGCTTCGGCTGCTGGGTGCTGTAGTTAAGATATTGCAGGTTTTTAGCATCTGGGTGGTGCAGGACACGTTGTTTACAACATGGCTTGATACAAGGCGTGGAGAGGCCCACTGATTGTGTGACCTTACGCGGTCGTAATGCAGGGGGGAGCAAAGAAAGAGAGGGCGGGCGTAGGTTTTGAATCTAAAGTGCTGCGGGCGAGGTGACTGTATGTCTTTGCATCAGCGCTCGCATCGCCATCCACTCCGTCAACTCGCGAGGGTCCCGCCCATATCATGAAGATCAGATCAGATCGGATCAGATCTTCAGCTGTTTCAAGATTCACCTGCCCCTCTACTCCCCCTCACTTGCCCCCTTCTCCTCTCCTCACTTGGCCCCAGGATGTGTGTCGCACATTCTCCATCAACCTTCAAGGGCCCTACCACACGGCTCGAGTCTCGAGATCATCATTCAGAAATCTCCGAATGCTCTCCTCTCCCTCTCCTCTCCCTCGCCTCACGATGTTTGCCCCCAGGGCGTGTGTCGCTTTGCCATTCTCTCCATCAACCCGCGACGGCCCTACCATGTGGCTCAAGTCTCGAGATATCTCGGAAATCGCTTGTTTTGCCCCTCATTCCCACCCTGGCACCCTCTGCCCCTCCTCTTCCTCACCCCTCATGCCCTCGCCATCCTCTCCATCAACCCGCGACGGCCCTACCACGTGGCTCGGGTCTCGATATATCCCAAACTTGCCCCTCTACCCATAACCCTCGCTTTGCCCTCTCTCTCTCTCTCTCTCCCTTCTCTCATTGTACCAGGGTGTGTGTCGCTTCGCCATCCTCTCCATCAACCCGTGAGGGCCGTACTCACTGTTGGGGTCTTTAGGCCTTTTGATACTCGTCTGACCGTTTCTTACCACCTCCTTTTCTCATCACCCTCAGGCCGTGTGTAGCATTGCCATTGTAGCTTTGCCATCCTCTCCATCAACTCACGAGGGCCGTGCGACGCTGTTGGGGTCATGCGGCCTCAAGCTCACCTGGTTCTCTGCTGCCCCCCTCTCGATCCTTCTCTCGCTCCTCTCGTAACCCCTTCTCTTCTCCCCACTTGTTGTGCTCCCAGGGCGCGTGTCGCTTTGCCATCCTCTCTATCACTCGCATGGCTCCCAGGGCCTTCAGGGCCTTCCTTACTGCATGGCTTGGTGCTTGATGCATTTCAAGCATCCCCTGACTTGGCCCTCTTCTTTCCCTCGCCTCACCATGTTTGCCTCTCAGGGCGTGTGTCGCTTTGCCATCCTCTCCATCAACATCCTCAAGTTGTTCAAGTCATGAGCCATCTCAGCTCGGCTGTTTCTCTTCTGCCCCCCTCTCGTGTTTTGAGATGTCTCAAAAATCCTCTCCATTAACATCCTCAAGTTGTTGGGGTCATGAGGCCCGCCTGTAATTCGCCTATTACTCTTCTGCCCCCCTCTTTGTTCCTTCTCTCGATTCTCTCGTGCCTGCCTTTCGGCCCCCGGGGCATGTCTCGCTTTGCCACCCTCTCCCTTCATGCTGCCTGCTTCGTTTTACCTCCGGCTACTCATCCCTTCACTACCTTACCCCTCCTTCCACTCTCCATCATTTTCTTCCTTCAGTCCGCCTGCGTCTCTTTCCCCCTCCCACTCCTCCTTAACTCCCCCCCCTCCCTCCTTTTTCTGTAGACCTTTCTCTCCCTTGTCCTATTCCCATCCCTCGCTCTATTCCCTTCCCTCGTCCCGTTCTTTTTCCCTCGCCACATTCCCTTCCTTCGCTCCCCTTCTTGGCACCAGCTGCTTCCTCTCTTCCATTCACTCATCTGCTGCTGGCACCCTCATGCGACTCTTTTTTCATACAATCAGTTTGCTTTTCTCATCCCACGCTGTTACTCTTGTCACAATGCTCTTCCAACAAGTCTACCGTACCAGCTTTGCATTTTTACCCTTCTTATCCAGTAATTGCACGGCACTGACACATCAGAGTTGCAAGTTCGTATGGCTTCCTGAACATGCAGCACGAACAAGAAGCATGAGGGTGTATTCCTGGCTTCGTGCCATCCGGGCTTCGTGTCTTCCGAAATTGTGGGTTCCAATAGAAAAATTCGAAGCTCGAAACGCGGGGTTTCCGATTGGCTCCCACAATTTCGAATGACACAAATACGGGATGACACGAAGCTAGGAATACGCCCTGAGAAGAACCATGCATCAACGTGAAGCTGGGAAGTCCTGTATCCTACGGTAATTGCTCTGCATAATTTGCATAAATTTCTTTATTCAAATGCAAGGATTCGTGGCCAAGTGAGTATTCAACAACATTGTTGATGGGTAGTGCAGCAAATAGGCTCAGATGCTGTCAGCCACTAAAGCACAATCATGCCATCCCAGTTTAGTCACCAACTCCTCAAGTGACAGTGGATTATTGCGATTATGAAGGTTGACGAAAAGCTTGAATTTCTCAAGTGTGAAAGTCTTCTTTCCCTCCTCGTGAAGCCCATCTCTGATATCTATCCTCAAGAGGCTGTATGAGACGCTGGTTGCCCCATTCATGTGCGAGACCATGAAGACGCTGGTTGCATCATTGGGCTCGCTGGGTTTCGTGGCGAACGTGTAGTGGTTCTTGAGCCCAAATAGAGGAGCCAGCTTTCGAGATGAAGAATTAAAAATGGCAGAAGTGAATGCCACGTTTGCTTTCAGATATTGGACAACATCGCACTGCTTGCTGTCATTCAGAACCATCACAGCACCTGGTGCCAGAATAGCTGCCAAAGTCACGTACTTTTCCTGGGTCTTGCACTTTTGAAGTGGATGCACAATGGAAAGCACATTCCTCCCCTTGTGGCTGATATCCAGAAGTATCACAGACGTTTCCACTTGAGGGGTGAGCTTAGGCACATTGGAAGGACTGAAACTAGAGCAGCACGCCCTGAAAACCGTCGGTAGTCAATGTCGCTGGTAAACTCGACTGTAATCAATGAGGGAAAGTGTTTCCTGCATTTTTATCTCAACACTCTCTGACTGAAAGCGATTTCTTTGAAATCCTTGCACACGAGAGAAAATGATATCACGTCCGACGGTGGGAAGTATTGCGTGCAAAGGCTTTCCAACACATTATGAGGCACAGACGCTAGAGTTTCTGTGACCTCATACCGCTCCGCCATGGAATGCCTCTAGAACCTGAACTCAGAGCTACTCAAAAGCGGCGAGACAGCGTGTTTGGCAAAAATAGAACCTGGAATGGCTTGCCCGATCACAATTTATCCATTTCTCTTTCTGATTGCCTGTGCTCGCTCTCGTCGCATGTTTCAGTCGATGAGTTTCCAAGGTGGAAGGGAAATTTCTGTCGACCATGATAAATCTCGCATGGTCATCGAACGGTAGAGACGAGAGGATCTCGAAGTAACACTCATCCTAGCGAGTCCGCGCACACACCCTAGGAGAAGGGCATCAGAACCTGCCGAGAAGACATCGAGAGTATCTCGAGAATGGCTGGTGGCGGATGAGCAAGTCGAGATAACTAGCCGTTCACCAGTTCAGGAACCGCATCCAAACCTGCCGAGAAGACATCGAGAGTATCTCGAGAATGGCTGGTGGCGGATGAGAAAGTTCAGAGCTTGTTTGGAGATCCCTACCCACCAACCCGATAGCATTTTCGCGAAGATTGGTGGGTGGGGGTGGGACATAACTCGCATTAGTTCGCAAAGACTCTAATGTTACTCGCTGTGATGACTTGTTGTGGCCAAAAAGTAGAGACGAAAACACTTACCAGAGACACCACAAGCTCTTTAAGTAGCAAGCAACACGGTCCCTGCAACATCTTTGTTTGACTGTTTCTATCCAACTCAACTCAAAGAAACAATCATAAACTGGACATGCCAACTACCAAACAATAGTCCAGCAGCACATAGTCAAGACTCAAGGGCACGCCACGTTCTTAGCTATGGGTAGTCGTGCACTGCACACATTTGAAGTGACCCCATTCACGGCTTATACTGAGCAAGCCTCTATCGAGTATGCATTTAACGCCTCTAGCAAACAGGCCTTTGCCTCATGTCTTGGGAACGAGAGGCCACGGGTATCCCTTAGCCCAGTCGTGACCTTTGGGTAGGCCGTCCAAGCACTGGTGGTTGCAGGGGGGAGAGGAGGGGAGAAAATGATGTCTTAATGTGCACTGCACACGCACTTGGAAACCAGTGCCGTTGCCCCATGTCATGGGAACGAGAGGCCACGGGTATCCCTTAGCCCAGTCATGGCTCTTTGGAAGGCCGTCCAAGGACTGGTGGTTGCCGGGGGAGGGTGGGCGGGGGAGGGAGGGTAGGGTTGAGGGCGGGAGGGTGAGAGGTTAGACTAAAATTCCTCAGATGATTCCATTATGACCAAACAACATGCAAGGCTCACACAGACACAAACGCATGACGGACACACTATGCATATCTGAAGCAACTTGTTCCAAGCAGGGAGCAGAACGAAACAAGCGCAATGAAATCCGAATTCAGACAAGACGCCCTGCGGCCGTACCTGGAACGGTGAAGTTCCACCAGATTTTTGAGGCGACTCAAAAATCAAATCCGATTTCAGACAACAAGAGCTCTAAGACCGTACCTGGAAAGCGATGAAGTTTCGCCAGTAGCAGTACCCCTTCTTGTTTTTTGAGTCGACTCAAAAAGTGCCTCCAATCCAGGTTAAGAGGCTCTGCAACTTTGAGCCTTTAAAGAAGTTCTGCAGTACAGCCATACCTGGAAAGGGATGAAGTTCTGCCAGTAGCGGTATCCCTTCTTGGGTGGCAAAGGCGGATTCGTTTAGAAACGTTCAAAGCATATCCATAATTCCAAAGAAAAGCGGATTCGTTTTGAGCGTCTCTGCGGCCGTACCTGGAAAGGGATGAAGTTCCGCCAATAGCGGTACCCCTTCTTGGGCGGCAGAGGCGGATTCGTTTAGAGACGTTCAAAGCATATCCATATTTCCAAAGAGAAGCGTCTCTGCGGCCGTACCTGGAATGGGATGAAGTTTCGCCAGTAGCGGTACCCCTTCTTGGGCGGCGGCGGCGGATTCCCCGTGATCTGTACAAAATCTGATACGATTTCCGCAGGTGGGATCATCACCATCACTCCAGGCACCCCCGGATGCCTGAAAGCCGGCACACCCACCCCTGCACCTTTCCTCCCTCCCCTAGAACTCGCATTATGCCCCCCACCACCACCAGCAGCAGAACCAGCAGCAGAGGTAGCTGCAGCTGCTGCAGCGGCGGCGGCAGCAGCAGCGGCAGCACCGGCTACCCAGCCTAGATCCATGGATCTCCAAGTTCGCTTTTCTACCCTCTCTGCTATTCGGGAGCTTCTTCTCCTCTTTGGTACAGACCCAGGCGCTCCTCCTGCTGCTCCTCCCCCTGTTCCCCCTGCTCCTCCCCCTGATCCTCCCCCTGCAGACCCAGCTGCTGCGGCAGTAGCAGAAGGGGAACAATTTGCAAGCGCCCCTAATCCGGTTGCGCCTAATCCCCCAGATAACCCTGCTAGAAACCACTCCGACCCACCCATCCCCACCCCTCTCTCTGCCTCCTCCTCATCCTCCCACATCCCCATCCCATCGTCCTCCTCCCCATCTTCCCCATTCCCATACTCCCAAAACATCCTCCTTCGTTTCCGAGCCTCTTTCCTCCTCATCCGAGCCTGTCCCTCCCTGTAATCCCCAGGGAAATCCTCTTCCGAGTCTTCATCCGAGCCTTCTCCCGAGCCTCCCTCCACCCGCTCCTTCCCTCTCCTTCTCCTCTCCCGCTCCACTCTCTCACCCTTCTCCTCTCCACCCTCCCTCTCCCTCTCTCCACCCCTAGCGTCTCCATTCCCATGCTCACCCACCCCTTCTCTCCTATCTCCCTCCATCCGTCCCTCTGCAATCGATTCCCGCCTATCTCTCCTCACTAGAGAATCGAATCGGATCTTGTCTGAATTTTGCCAAATCCCAACGCCTCCTCTCCTCTTCTCCCCATCTCTCTCTTCCTCCTCCTCCTTCTCCTCCTCCTCCTCGCCCCCCTCCTCCTTCTCTCTCTGCTCCTCTGCTTGCTTCTCTGCCCCCAGAGAAGCAAGAACAGCTCGATCCACATCCACAAGTCGCCTCTCTCTCTCCTTCTCCCTCTCTCTCTCCTTTTCCTTCTCCCTCTCCTTTTCCCTCTCCCTGTCCCTCTCCCTCTCCTTGTCCTTCGTCTTATGCTTAACCTTCTCCCTCTCCCTCTCGGTTCTCTCCTTGTCCCTCTCTCTCTCCTTCTCCACCTCTTGTTGCTCCAGACCCTCGCCTACAAAAGTACCTCTGCCTCCTGCCCCTCCTTCCCCTCCTCTTCCTCTTCCTCCTCCTCCTTCTCCAGCTCCTTCTGCTCCTCCTACTCCTGCTGCTCCTGCAGAGATTCTCAACCTGCCCTCTTCCTCCTCTGCCGATCTATCTCCCTTCCTCTCCTCCCCTCCCTCCACTCTGCCATGCTTCTTCATCTTCTTCTCCCTCCTCTCCTCCCCATCATGCTTCCCTTCCCTCTTGCTCTCCCCCTTCTCTTCCTTCCTCCCTTCAACCTTACCCTCTCCCTTACCCTCCCTTCTCTCCTCCCCTTTCTCCCCCCCTCTCCCCTCTCGATCCTTCTCATGCCTCTTCTTCTTTTTCTTCTTCCCCTCCTTGTCCCTTTTCCCAACCCCCTCTACTTCCACCCCCTTCTCCTTCTTCCCCACTCCTCCCGCACTCGCCCTCTCCCTCTCCCCCTCTCCCACCTCCTCTCCATCCCTCATACCATTCATTTCCTCAAGCCTCCTACCAATACTGTCCACCTGCATTCCCAACGCACCATTAGTAGCACGAGCAGCAGCAGAAGCAGCATCACCAAAAACAGCATCACCAGCAACACCAGCAGCCATCTCTTTCTCCTTCCCCTTATCCTTCTCTCTCTCCGTCTCTTTCTCTTGCATCTGCTCAAGCCCCGAAAACACCATGGGTGGATGGAGAAGCGACGACGGAGGCAGGGACAGGAGCGGCTTCGAATGTAAAGACTGCCAACCAGCCTCCCTCCTTTCGGCCACCAAGTCACCCCCTTCCTTTCGGTCAACCTGGTCAACCTGGTCAACCCGGTCAACCCGGTCAACCCGGTCCTCAGCTTGAGCAGCCATGCCATTGCCAACCAGCACATTCTCCTCTGTTGCCATCATAGGCCGTGACAACAGCGGCGGCACCAGGCCAACATTTCTATCCCCCACTCTCCTCGGCTCTTCCAGTATCGAGTCAAAAGGTCGATTGAAAGGCACTGACGGTTCCATACCCGGCTGCTGCATGCCCCTGCTGTTGCTGCTGCTTGGGAGAGGAAGCTTCTCAAAAGGTTCTTCTGCGAGAGGCAGCAGCTCATCCATGCCTGCAGGTGCTACCCCGACCCACCCGTTCGCCGCCTCCAGTTTCCTGTGGGGTCAAGCAAAGGGAGTGACGGAAAGAATAGGGATGGAACTGAGACGCCTAGAAAGAGAGGCAGCTGCTCATCCATGCCTGCAGGTGCTACCCCGACCCACCCGTTTGCCGCCTCTAGCTTCCTGTGGGGTCCAGAAAGAGAGTGACGGAAAGAATAGGGATGGAACTGAGACGCCTAGAAAGAGAGGCAGCAGCTCATCCATGCCTGCAGGTGCTACCCCGACCCACCCGTTCGCCTCCTCCAGTTTCCTGTGGGGTCAAGCAAAGGGAGTGACGGAAAGAATAGGGATGGAACTGAGACGCCTAGAAAGAGAGGCAGCTGCTCATCCATGCCTGCAGGTGCTACCCCGACCCACCCGTTTGCCGCCTCTAGCTTCCTGTGGGGTCCAGAAAGAGAGTGACGGAAAGAATAGGGATGGAACTGAGACGCCTAGAAAGAGAGGCAGCAGCTCATCCATGCCTGCAGGTGCTACCCCGACCCACCCGTTCGCCTCCTCCAGTTTCCTGTGGGGTCAAGCAAAGGGAGTGACGGAAAGAATAGGGATGGAACTGAGACGCCTAGAAAGAGAGGCAGCAGCTCATCCATGCCTGCAGGTGCTACCCCGACCCACCCGTTCGCCTCCTCCAGTTTCCTGTGGGGTCAAGCAAAGGGAGTGACGGAAAGAATAGGGATGTAACTGAGACGCCTAGAAAGAGAGGCAGCAGCTCATCCATGCCTGCAGGTGCTACCCCGACCCACCCGTTCGCCTCCTCCAGTTTCCTGTGGGGTCAAGCAAAGGGAGTGACGGAAAGAATAGGGATGTAACTGAGACGCCTAGAAAGAAAGGCAGCAGCTCATCCATGCCTGCAGGTGCTACCCCGACCCACCCGTTTGCCGCCTCTAGCTTCCTGTGGGGTCCAGAAAGAGAGTGAGATGAAAAGGCAAGGGACAGGGGAGGAGAATGTATTAATATCTCTAGATTCCTGTGCGTCGAAGAAAAGACGCAAAGCCACTAATCAAGGTACAACAGACAAATCAATCAAGGTAGACGCATATCTCCTTTTCATCGGCAGTTGGGGCAGGGGTTGTCCCGTGATCGCCCTGAAATCCTCCTCCATCTCCTCCGGCGTGGGAGAGAGTGGTTGTAGGAGAGCAAGAGAGTAGGAGGAGGAAAGCCCACCTTCTCTTCTTCATAAAAATCTGGGGCGGAGGTTGTCCCGTGATCGCCCTGAAATCCTCCTCCACCTCCTCCGGCGTGAGAGAGAGTGGTTGTAGGAGAGCAAGAGAGTAGGAGGAGGAAAGCCCACCTTCTCTTCTTCATAAAAATCTGGGGCGGAGGTTGTCCCGTGATCGCCCTGAAATCCTCCTCCACCTCCTCCGGCGCGAGTCAACATTGTCGCAAAACAACGCATAGACAAGTGGGAGAGAGTGATTGTAGGAGAGCAAGAGAGTAGGCGAGGGAGAATAGGAGTGAGAAAGCCCACCTTCTCTTTTTCATTGGAAGCTGGGGCGGGGGTTGCCCCGTGATCGCCCTGAAATCCTCCTCCACCTCCTCCGGTGTGAGAGTGATCGACACACGCATACACTCTTGGCGGCAGCACCGGGGAATGCAAGTCAGGGAGGCAATCAAACCAAGCAAAGGAACACCACACACTCAAGGTGCACGCACCTTCTCTTTTTCATTGGGAGCTGGGGCGGAGGTTGCCCCGTGATTGCTCTGAGATCCTCCTCCACCTCCTCAGGCGTGAGAGTGATCGAGACACGCATGCACTCTTGACGGCAGCACCGGGGATTGCAAGTCAGGGAGGCAATCAAGCAATGGAACACCGCACACTCAAGGTGCACCCACCTTCTCTTTTTCATTGGGAGCTGGGGCGGTGGTTGCCCCGTGATCGCCCTAAAATCCGCCTCCACCTCCTCCGGAGTGAGAGTGATCGACACACGCACGCGCGGCGGCAGCACCGGGGGAAGAATGTCACGTGGCGGTGCCAGCTCCTTCCCGGAAGGTTCCTCACTCGAGGAGTCCAGGCGAGGAGGCAGCACCGGGGGAGGCACGTCACGTTGTGCCAGCTCCTTCCGAGAAATCTCCTGAGTCGAGCCAAAAGGAAGGATCTGAGATTCCAAGTGGGAAGCTTCTTGAGTCGAGCCAAACGGCAAACCCTGAGACGACAGGCAGGGGGTTTCTTGAGTCGACTTGAAAGGGAAGCCTCGGGAATCCGGGCAGGAAGGTTCCGGAGACGACTCGAGTGCAATCTTAGCCTGCTCTGCCGAGTTGCTGGAGGGGAGACCCCGTGAATCTAGAAGAGAAGCGGCTTTCTGCGACTGACGTGTAGACTCAATGGGGAGGGGCTGAGAACCCAGAGGAAGGTCATGAGTCTTTAGAGGCGGAGGCCCTAGCGGCTGAGCTTCTAGGGGCCGAGACTCTAGGTTCTGAAACTTTAGGGGCGGAGGCCCTAGCGGCTGAGCTTCTAGGGGCCGAGACTTTAGGTTCTGAGACTTTAGGGGCGGAGGCCGTAGGGAGAGGTCGAGAACAGGATCGGCGGCGGGGTGAGGGATGAGAGTTTTTTTAGGCGCCTTGGAAACAGGCTCGGAGGATAGGTCCGGCACAGGTTTGGCGGAGTGAGGGACGGAGGGTTTCTCAGGCGCCTCGAGATTAGGTTTGGATGGGTGGTCAGGGGCAGGTGCGGTGGAGTGAGAGTTACAGGAACGGGGAGGAGGGAATTCTGGTTTGGGAAGGTGGGAAGTGGAAGGGTGGGAAGTGGGAGGGTGGGAGGAGAAAGGACGGGAGGAAGGAAGAGACGGGGGAAGGGGAAGGGGAAGGGTCCCTGGAAAGGGGATGACTGCGGTTGAGTCCTTCCCAGTTGAGTCAACCGTTCCTGTTGCTGGTGGTTCAGATGCTGGACTAACAGCAGCGGCAGCTGCTGCTGGTGCTGTCAATTGAATTGCTGTTAGATCTGCTGCTGCTGCAGTTGCTGGTTCTGCTGCAGCAGCTGCTACAGCTGGTTTTGCTGCGGCTGCTGATGTCGCCTCAACTGCTACTGCTGATGCCCCTGCTGTCGTCAATTTCCCTGCTACTTGTGACTCAGCCTTTGTACCCTGCGGTATGCCTGCTGCTGTAGCGTCTGCTGTTGCAGGTGCTGCATCAACCGTTGATCTTGCTGCTGCTGCTGCCCCTGTTGTTGTCAAAGTGGCTGCTACTTGTGACCCATCCTTTGTACCTTGCGGTATGCCTGCTGCTGCTGGAGCTTCAACTGCTGCTGCTGTTGTTACTGCTGTTGTTACTGCTGCTGCTGCTGCTGCTCGTTCAACTGCTGGTTTTGTTGTTGTTGCTGCCGTAGCTGGTAAGTCGAGTGTTGCTGCCCCGACTGCTGCTGCTGGTGCCCCTTTTGACGTGAGAATGGCTTCTCGTTGTGGCTCCGTCTTTGTACCTTGTGGTACGGCTGCTGCTGCTGTAGCAGGAGGGGTAGAGGCAGTAGCAGGGGAGATGGCAGCTGTAGCAGGGGAGATGGCGGCTGTAGCAGGAGAGCTGGAAAGTGTTGCAGAAGGTTTGGTGGCTGTAGCAGGAGCAGTGGCAGCTGTAGCAGGAAGGCTGGTGGCTGTAGCAGGAGGAGCGGTGGTAGCTGTGTTGAGAGGGGGGAGGGATGTGGCATGGGGAATGGCGGCTGTAGCAGGAGGGATAGCAACTGTAGCAGGGGAGATGGCGGCTGTAGCAGGAGGGATAGCAACTGTAGCAGGGGAGATGGCGGCTGTAGCAGGAGGGATAGCAACTTTTTCAAAAAGCTTGGCAGCTGTAGCAGGAGGGCTGACAGTTGGAGCAGGAAGGGCGGCGCCAGCAGCTGTTTCAGAAGGTTTGGCGGCTTTGGAAGGAGGGGTGGCAGCTGTAGCAGGAGGGCTGGCAGCTGTAGCAGGAGGGCTGGCAGCTGTAGCAGGAGAGGTGTCAAATGCAGCAAGAGGTTTGGCATCAGTGGCAGGAGCAGCGGCAGCTGTAGCAGGAGCAGTGGCAGCTGTAGCAGGAGGTTTGGCAGCTGTAGCAAGTGGAGGTTTGGCATCTGCAACAGCATGGGTGGCAGCCGAAGCAGGAGGGATGGAAGATGCAGCAATTGGAGATGTAGATGGGGAAGTGGAATCTGTATCAATAGGCTTGACGGCTGTAGCAAGGGGGAGAATGGCTGTAGCAACGGCTGTGGTGGCTGGTACAGGTGAAGTGCCTGCCGTAGCAGGGGAAATGGCAGCACTTGCAGGGGGAGTGGCGACTTTAGCAAAAAAACTGACTGTTCCAGAAGGCAGAATGGGGGCTGTAGCAGGGGCAGTGGTGGCTGTAGCAGGGGGAGCGGCGGCTGTAGCAGGTGAACTGGTAGCAGCAGGCGGGATAGCGGCGGTAGCAGGGGAAGTGGCGGCTGCAGCAGAGGGAGTAGGAGCTGCTGCAGGGGAAGTGGCGGGTGTAGCAGGAAGAGTGGCGACGGCAGCAGGGAGAATGGCTGCTGTAGCAAGGGCAGTGGAGGCTGGTTCAATAGAAGCAATTCCTGCGACAGCAGCAGCAGCAGCAGTACTGGCAGTTTCTGTAGCAGCAACAATGGTAGCAGCAGTGGCAGTACTGGCCGTGCTGGCTTTAGCAGGAGTAGCATCCATAGCAGAAGGACCAGAGGCGGCGGCGGTGGGTTCTGTAGGAGGAAATTTTGCAGTAGCATCAGCATCAGCATTCTTTGGAGGAAATTGAGCAGGAGGTAGAGCAGGGGCCAGAGGAGGGGCAGCAGAGGAAGAAATAGCGGGGGTAGCAGAAACAGTAGCAGCAAGAGGAGGAGAAGAAGAAGAAGCAGCAGTGGCAGGAGCAGGAGCAGGAGCTGGAGCAGGAGCAGGCGCAGGAGCAGTGGGAGGAACAGCAGAAGCACGAGAGGTAGCAATAGGAGAAGCAGCAGCAGGAGCAGTTGCAGGAATTGAAGCAGCAGCGGCCACTGCAGCTGTAGCAAGGTTTGCAGATGTAGTGGCTGTAGCAGCTGTAGCAGTTGTAGTAGGTGTGAAAGTTACAGTGGAAGCAAGGGAGGGCGCTGAAACAGCAGGGATTGATGCGGAAGCAGCAGCAAGGGCAGAAATAGGGGCTGAAGCAGGCGCAGCAGCAGAGACAGGAGAAAGGGCAGAAGGAGGAACAAAAGCAGGGGCAGAAGCAGGGGCAGAAGCAGGGGCAGCTGCAGAAGCAGCAGCAGCAAGGGCAGTGGAAGAAACAGGAGCAGGGGAAGAAGCAGGGGCTGCAACAGGGGCAGCAGCAGAAGCAGCAGCAGGGAGAGCAGCAAGGGCAGCAGCAGAGGAAGGGGCAGAAGCAGGAGCAGCAGCAGGAACAGCAGCAGGAACAGCAGCTGTAGCAGTTGTAACAGCTGCGACAGCTGCAGCGGCTGTAGCGGATGGAACCACTGGAACAGCCGTCGCCTGCTGTTGGTAACCAGCTGTTGGTAAAGCAGGCGAAGCTCTAGCTTCTGTAGGGGATGAGTCGGGGGCTGTAGGGACAGCTGTAGCAGCTCTATCGGCTGTAGCGGCTGTGGTGGCAGCAGTAGCGTCTGTAGCAGCAGCAACAGCAGCAGAAGCAGAAACAGGAACAGGAACAGGAACAGGAGGAGCGGCAGCAGGGGCAGAAACGCCAGCAGCTGCTTCTGGGGATGAAACCTTGACTGGGGTCATAGCTACAGCCCCACTAGCAACTCTGACTGGGGAGAGCTTTACTTCCTCTCCCCCCTTCTCCTCCACTCTCTTTCCCGCCTCCCTTTCACTTCGCCCTGTATCTCTTCTCACCACATCTCCCCCATCTCCTTTCTCCCCTTCTTTTACCAGCCCTCTCTCCCCTGCTGCTGTCACATCGACCATCCCCTTTATCCCGTCGTCTACATCACCACCCCTTGGAAGCACACGCTCAGGCTCAACTCTCAACTGTCGCCCCTCACCATCCAAGCCCGCTTCTCCCATCAACTCCTTCTGAACATCCTTTCTCTCCTGGCTCACCTCCTTTGGTTTAGCACGCTCCTGTCTCTGCCCATCCCCAACCCCTGATTTCGCTCCTGCTATCTCCTTTGGCCACGTCGCCCCACCTCCCTTGGATTGAGCATGCTCCTGCTCCCGACCATCCCTATCCTTTCCAAGCTTCCCCTTTTCCTCTTGATTCGACTCGCAAGTCACCTCGCCTTCCTGTTCACGCATCCCCTTCCCCTCCTCCCCACGCACACCACCGCTGCCCTTCCTCTCATTCTGCTGAGCCACTGCTTCTGGCGCTTCCTGCTTTGCCTCCTCCTTTCCTTTCTCCTTTGCATTCTCCTCTGCTTTCGCCGTTGCTGTTTCCGCTGCTTTCCCCGTTGCATTCCCTTCCACTTCCTCGGTTTTCTGCCCCGCCTTCGGCTCTTCTTTCTCCTCTGTGATTTCCCCCATCCATGCTTTCTTCTCTGATTTCTCCTCTACTTTCTCCTTCGCCTCTTCTTTCTCCTCCTTGCCCTTCCCCATCCCTCCTTTCTCCTCTGCTTTCTCCTTCGCCCCTTCCTCCTTGCCCTCCCCCGTCCCTCCTTTCCCCTCTGCTTTCTCCACCCTGCTCTCCACCGTCCCTCGTTGCTCCTCTCCTCTCACTCCCTCCGTTCTCTCCTCTTTTACTCGCCCATCCGCCTCCTTATGTTGGTCACTATCCTTCAACCCCTCCTTCTCCCCCACGTTCTTTTCCTCTCTCACCTCTTCCTTATCTCCTTTCTCATCATCACCCCCTTTTCCCTTCCCCTTATTCTCCTCCCGCCCTTCCCCCCTCCTAGCCTCCCTCCTCTCCCTCTTCTCCTTCCTCTTTCTCTCCTTCCTCTCCTCCCTCCTCCTAGCCTCATCCTTCTCATCCTTCCCCTCCTTCTTCCCCTCCTTCCTCCCCTCTCTCCTCCTCTCCTTCTCCTCCTTCTCCTTATCCTCCCTCTTCCTCCTCGCCTCCTTCCCTTCCTCACTCTTCTCCCCCCGCCCTTCCACACTCCTCCTCCTCTCTCCCTCCTCCAGACTATTCACCCCAGGACTGGCCATACTCGCTATAGACTGACCCGGGCTTCCTTTCGAACAGCCGTCCATATTCACAGACATGTCAATACTCCCTCTAACCTGATCTGAACTTTCGACCGGCTGTTCAGCCCTTTTCACACCCTCAACAGAGCTCCGACCTGCCGCAACTCTCTTCTCCTCAGGACTCTTTAAATCGGCAGAACTCTTTAAGTCGCCAGGACTCTGCAATTTTCCAGGACTCTGTAAATTGCCAAGACACTTTTTCTCCCCAGGAATCTGTAACTCGCCAGGAGTCATTGTATCGCCAGGACTCTTTTTCTCCTCAGGACTCTGAAAATCGCCCAGACTCCTCAAAACCTCCGGACTTCTCAGATTATCAAGGCTTTTGACTTCATCAGGACTTTTCAGAGCATCCTTTAAGGGCTTCGCTCCTTGATCCGGGCTCATCATGCAGTGCTCAGGGCTCTTAAAGCCCTTCGATTTCACCTCACCGTTTAAGGGCTTTGCTCCTTGATCCGGGCTCATCACACAGTGCTCAGGGCTCTTAAAGCCCTTCCCTCTCAACTCCGAACCTTTTGCGGAATGTCCAGGGCTCAAAAGAGGCTGCTCACTCCTCTTCTCCCGCTTCTCTTCCTTTTCCCTCTTCTCCTTCTTCTCTTTCCTCTCTTTCGACTTCACATCCTGTCCCTCCTCGGTCTTCCTCTCCTTCCTCTTCCCCTCTCCTTTCTCCTCCGCTCTCTTTTCCTCCCTCCTCTCTCGCTTCCTCTCCTTTCTCCTCTCCTCGTCCTTCTCATCCCTCTTCCTCTTCTCTTTCTTCCTCTCCTCCTCCTCCCCTTCTCTCTTCTCCTTCTCTTCTTTCTTCTCGTCCTTCGCCTTCCCTTCCTTCTTCTCATCCTTATCCTTTCCTTCCTTCCTCTTCTCATCCTTCTTCTCCTTCCGCTCCCCATCCTTCTCTTTCCTCCTCTCCTTCTGTTCACCCCCCTCCCTCCTCTCCTCCCTCTTTTCCTTCCCCTTCTCCTTACCCTTCTTCTCTTCCTCCCCAATCTCTCCCTCCTCCCCCCCTTCAACGCGTTTTCCTTTCTCCTTCCCCTTTTTGTACTCATCAGCAGCAATCTCTCCCTCCTCCTCCTCTTTTCTCTCCTTCTCCTCTTTTCTCTCGTTCCCCTCCTTCCTCTCCTCTTCATTCCCCACTTTCTGTTTCCCCTCCCCCTTAACTTCCCCACGATTCACTTCCTCCTTTTCCCTCTCCTCCTCCTTCTTTCCCTTCTCTTTCTTCTCCCCCCCCCCTTCCTGATGCCCTTTTCTGTTCTCATCCCCCTCTTCGCTCTTAGCCCTCGTCTCCCTTCCTTCCTTCGGCAGATCCTCCTTCTCTCCCGTTCCCTTTCCCTCCTCCCTCTTCTCCTTCTTCTCTTTCTTCTCCTTCCCGTCCTTTCCCCCCTTCTCCTCCCCCGCCTCCATCTTATCCCCTTTCTCCTTCTCCTCCTTCCCTTTCCTTCTATCCTCCTCCCGCTCCTTCCCATTTCCCTTCGTATCCTTTCCCCCCTTCTCATCCTCCCCTCCTTTCCCTCGGTCCTCTCTCTTCTCCTCCTTCCCTTCCTTCATATCCCTTCGCTCCTTCCCCTCCTCCTCCCCTCCTTTCCCCCTCTTTTCGCCCGTCTCCTTCTCCTCTTTCCTTGAGCCTTCGCTCGTTGCCATCCCCAGTCCCACCATACCAATCACCTTCCCATCCACCCCTCGTTTCCCCTCTACCTTTCCTTCCTTGCCCTTCCCCCCCTCCTTAAGAATCTCTCCCTTTTCCTCCTTGTCCTCTCGCTCCCCTTTATCACCTTTCACCGTCTCCCCTTTATCACCTTTCAACGTCTCCCCTTTCACCGTTCCCCCTTTATCGCCTTTCACCGCCTCCCCCTTATCGCCTTTCACCGCCTCCCTTTTATCACCTTTCACCGCCTCCCCCTTATCGCCTTTCACCGCCTCCCCCTTATCGCCTTTCACCGCCTCCCCCTTATCGACTTTCACTGCCTCCCTTTTATCACCTTTCTCCCTTCTTCCCTTCTCACCCTTCTCCTCCGCTTCTTGATCCCCTTTTTCCGGCCCTTTACTCCCTGACTCCTTCCTCGTTTGCTTCTCTTCGCCTAGATCTTTCGTCTCCACGTCAGCATGACTTCCGCTCATCCCGGCTGAATCTCCGGATGCGTTACAATCACCATCAATGCCACGCGCCCGGTTTCCCCTTCCCGAAAGTTGAACACTCCCGCGACTTGGTTCCATGGATACGCGTTACAAGCCGGCTGACTCGTTATAAGACCGCAGTCCCGCTATAAGCTGGTTGGCTTCTCCGCTAACGACGAAACCACAGCTGCGGTATAGAATGATTAGTGCTCCTTTTTACCGAGAGGACTAATAAACATGTCGTCTGTTGACTGAGACTATCGAACACTCGCCGTCTCCTAACTTCCCGGGCTTCTGGGCTCTTGAAATATAAAGCACGACTCTCAATCGAAGCGCGAAGCCTTTTCCTACAATAGACGATGCAAGCCGACACGGGCGATAAAAACGACTGGCGGCGTCTAGGGCTCGCGACGGGTAACCACGTTACTGCTGTCATTCAGATCCGCGTCCAGACGAACGGCGAGAGACTGCTCTACTGCAAATACGGCCAATGCGAACAGATATTACAGCTAGACGGAGGCAGAAATAACGGACGAATCTATACCGAGGCTGCAGACGGAAAACGTGACGTGTCTGATGAAGAGGGACGGACTGGGGGTTGCGTAGAAAAAGGAAATCCCAAGGGAGTCCACAACAGAAACGAAAAGCTCGCCTTGCGATTCTCTCGGCTTTTGATGGCGGGGAACCAACCACATGGATGCTTGGGGGTGGAGGAATTCCCGAGGGCAGGCTGTGGTCCAGCAATTATGGCGTTTCACCTATAATGTTTTGACGAACACTTTACTGGTGAAATTTGGCCAGTCTCAATACAGTATAGCGGATATGTTTCAGTTTGGGTATTTTCAAGGGTAGACATGTGTCAGATCCGCCAATCCGAGGATTTCGGGGGCTTACAGCTCGTGAAATGGCGCCAATCATCGCACCTCCAATGAGTGTTCGTCATACTCTGTACAAGTCAAAGAAGCTATGATATAATTTAAATACACCGAGAGTCGATGACTCCAATGGATATGTTGGTGCAAATAGTACAACCATCCAATGCAAACCAGATGAACACGAGTGCACAAGGAACATCGCAACTTGCAACACACAATGAATGTCAATTATAATCAATGGGCAGATGAAAACTTCTCATGCCCAAGTAAAGAATGTCAAGGTGAGCTAGACACCATCCTAGCATATCCTCCGTAGACCTACACAGTCTCACTCTTGTGTGTCAGTTGAACAAACTAGCTGACGGACATGCCAATTATGGTCATGTCATGACACCACAAGTCCCAGTAAGCACCTGTGATGATCCTTGCACCACTTATTCCATGTATGTTTTGTATATATTAAATCATCACCTCACGGTTTGAGGTTGAACGGGTCGCTGACTTGGTGGTACCACAAATCCAGCCAGACGTCTGGAACCCCCGGCAAGCACCACTTAGCACAGTCCATTTCCGTCGACCCACCTTCCGGTCGGTACGTCCCCACGTGTGCATCCGCCCTATAGAGCGACAGCGACAAGATATTAAGCAGCTTCACGCGAGATTTCGATAACGCGTTGATCTGCGCGTTGGTCCACGCGACAACGCCGCTGCGAGCCTTGGCTAAGTCAGTAGCTGTGGTAGATAAAGGCCCGGCGAAAAGCGCGCACGTGGTGTCGGCGTATTGGAACATGTTGGGCATGTGCGCGGGCGGGATGGAGAGCGCGTAGGGCTGCAGGAGCATGACATTCGACTTGATGTAATCTGCGACATTCCGCAGCACGATGTTGAGCGCCGCAATGCCGCTGGGCTGGGAGGAAATCGCGCGGCCCTTGCTGTAGTACGTGCGGTTCGAGGATTCCTGGAGCGGGAGAAGGGGGGATTGCGGGGGGGAGGAAGGGGAAGGAGGAGGATGAAGCACGATGTTGAGCGCGCCGATGCCGCTGGGCTGAGAGGTGATTGGTCTGCCCTTACTGTAGTACGTGCGGTTGGAAGATTCCTGGAGGGGTGGAGCGGGGGGAGGGGTGGGGAGGGGAAGCACGATGTTGAGCGCGCCGATGCCGCTGGGCTGCTAGGCGATCGCTCGGCCCTTGCTGTAGTACGTGCGGTTGGAGGATTCCTGTAGGGGGAGGGGGAGGGGAAGGAAGGGGAAGGAGGAAATTGAAGCACGATGTTGAGCGCGCCGATGCCGCTGGGCTGCTAGGCGATCGCTCTGCCCTTACTGCAGTACATGCGGTTGGAAGATTCCTGTAGAAGATGGGGGTGGAGGGGAAGGAAGGGGAAGGAGGAAATTGAAGCACGATGTTGAGCGCGCCGATGCCGCTGGGCTGCGAGGCGATCGCTCTGCCCTTACTGCAGTACATGCGGTTGGAAGATTCCTGTAGAAGATGGGGGTGGAGGGGAATGCGGAAGAGGGTGGGGACAAGGAGGAGGGTGAAGATGTTGAGCGCGCCCTTGCCGCTAGGTTGGGATGAAATCACGTGGCCCTTGCTGTAGTACGTGCGGTTCCTGGAGTGGGGGGAAGTAGGAAGATGGGGGATGGGATGGGGAGGATGGCACTCATGAAAGTGCGGAGAGAACTAAAGAGGATGTGTTTGAAGAGAAAGTGCCGTATGTTACAACTGTTGGAAGAGAAAGTGCCGTATGTTACAACTGTTGGAAGAGAAAGTGCCGTATGTTACAACTGTTGGAAGAGAAAGTGCCGTATGTTACAACTGTTGGCTCTCAGGGTTGTTCACAAATCAGGGAGGTATCAACGCTTGCTCTGAGGCTTACCGCGTAGTATGAGCCGGCCACGAGGATGACTGATCGGAGCCCTTTAAGTGTTTCCGTTAGCTTGTGGTTGATTTTGTCCACGTGGACCATCCATCCATCTTTGACAGATCGCTTCAACTGGTTTGGACGGGAAAATCAAAGCAAGGAGGAGGGATTGTGACTGATGAGCGTGTGATGTGAGATTGTGATTGTGATTACAAGAGGGGTTGTGGTTGATTGTATTCACGTGCATCTTCCATCCGTCTTTCATAGACCGCTTCAACTGATGTTGGATGGGGAAATAGGAGGAACGAAAGCAGATTTCGACTGGTTAGGCGGGCTAATAGCGAAACCTCGAATTGACGAGTTTCTCGAGAACGAACAAGCGGCAACAGCCAAAAAACGAAAACGAGGAACATTGCAGCAGACCCGTAGAAAAATCAAATGTAACCAAAGAGAAAGAGTGCATTATACAGTGCACCTTCTGCAGAGGTTATTACAAGAGAATGCTCTTACCGGGTCCATAGGATCCGCTTCGGTGAGGAACGGTGCGTGCACGAACACGACCTTCACTCCCCAAGGCTTGACCTTGAAACCGTCGCCAGTCCAGCCAATCGTAGACGGATCGAAACTCTGCAGAAACGAAACGCGTTAACGAGCACATGTATGTGAGAATAGAGTGTCACACTCGGCTAAGTACAGTACCACTTTCAATAAGTAGCTCGCTCAAAACGTTATTTCCTATCAGCTCTTACCTCGGTCTTCATACCCGCAGCATCTAGGCGACACCTGAGCGACTGGTACATGTACAGCCCAGAATTGTCGCCCACGATCGCCACGGCCTGGCCAATGAAAGTCATCGCGAATTTCTTCGCGTCAAAGCGAATTAGCTTGCACCCCGACGGTTTCCACTCGAAGTGGCGAAAGTCGCCGTCCGGTCGCCCGTTCTTTTCGCAGTTGAACTCCTGGCTAATATACGGACACGAGGAGTCGTATACCGGGTACTTGGTCGACGGGGCCCAGCTGAAGAGGGCAAAAATGCCGGGCAGGGTAAAAAACAGGGGTGGACACTGATGAAGAACGTAGAGAAGAAGGTGGGAGATGCAGGGATGTGGAGAGGAACGGCATGCGAAGCTTCAAGTTTCGGGTTTGGGTTGGAAGCTGAGCAAATGCGGGGACGGCTTCTCTGGCGCATGAAATTCGTAGTGGGCGAAAGGCGTAATGAGTCTTGCGTATACTATAGATAAAAGTAATGAAGAGACCTCTTATTGGTACTGAAGTACTGTAGCGGTCGTAAATTATTACATCGAATGTTGCTTTCGCCAACCGCTTACCTGCCAACGGAGAGATCACATGCCTTCTTCTTGCCGCCGATCCCGAGAAATCCGGCGTGTGCCACGTGGAAGCACGCCAGAAGAAGCGCGCTGATGAAAATTGCTCTGACAGGCCGCATCGTGCTCGTCATACAGAGCACCTTCTGGTAATTTGATAACCCTATCGGCGAAAGCGTGAGCTGCGATTTCGGCCTTCACGCGAAAGTGCCGCGAATGAAAGGGAAGGCTGTACGCGTCACAAGTATGCGAGCGCGCGAGGACTGTGATGCCTATGTACGGAAAGATCCGTTCAGCTGGTAGGGCGCCGGTGCTTTGAACCGGCTTCTCCCGTTGCAACGAATCGTTTTAGCTGCTCGTTTTGGATGCAAGGGATCGTTTTGGCTGGAAAGGGATGTTTCGTCTGTAAACTACCAGTAGCAAACAGCTAGGGGCGAAGATCGGCGATCGAGTGCTTCCGCAGCAGCTGGGAATGGTAGTTACTATCTCTGCCTCTAAGAGTCCGCGAGAAGAGTATATATGAATGACAGTGTTAGTTGCGAGAGAACGCATGAATTCCAACTTCACTGAAGCGGTGAAGGGCTATCGCAGGAAATTCATTATTGTTGAAGTGCTAGGCTTGAGAGGTAGTAAGCATGGAATGAGCAACTGCATGAGCGAGCCCAGGAATTCACGCACCCTACGGCGAATGATCCCTGAAAGTGATGGGAGCCAGAGTGTAGTCACAAAACGTGCGGAAGGTATGGGGGAGGGAGAGCAAAGGTGCACTGCTTGCTTCCTTGGCAACGGCAGAAAAAAATGGCGGGGACGCTATTTCGCGAGAGAGGGGCGAAACGTGATGCTCGGAATGTGGATTGAATAGTTGCGATGGTTCAAGCCTGAATTGTGTAGATGGTTGGACCTAGTCGACATGATTGAAAAGGTGGAATGTTATCTGTCGGCGGGGTTCGTGGATGCTGAGAGTGACATAGAAAGAGCCATCTGGGCGCATCTAGGACGGTAAACGATTTGGCGCAAAAGGCTAACGGGAAACTAGCCATAAACCTCGGACAAGTCTGACGGCTGGAGAAAAGCCCGTGCTTCCATGCTGTGGTGATCCATGCTTGGTGTTCGACGAACCTCCATGGCAAGTGAAGAACGAGGCAGATAGGCAGGACTAATGAGAGGATGGGTGTTGAACCAAATGTGTTGGAAGTTGGATTTGAGGGAGGGAAGAAATTCGTCTCCCAAATCCAATTTGGCGGTCCGATATTTTCACCAATATGTGCGCCTCATAAAAATCGACGCTCTTTTAGCGTGTTGCAATCGATGGACGGTTGAGACGAATACCACTTTCTCAGGAGTTGGCGGGAGGTGGTTTGGTTCGCTAGCTTTCCGTTTGCCCCGTTCATTTGGGAAATCATTGAAAAAAAGCGCGAACGAATTTGGCGGTCAATGAGAATATTCAGGCAAAACATCACATTTGCAGAAGACAAACATAATACAGTTGAATTTAGGTATGACGCCGGGGTTTTGGAGAAACTCGTATCGGAAAAAGGTGTACTCGGTATTAGTCTTTCCACATAGCGTTCGTCCTATGCAGTTTCGTTATGCTCTTAGTGAACCATTGTGCTGAGTTAGTGAAACAAAAGTTTAGGAAGCCATTCACAGTTCGGGTACTATTCTTTCAGTAGTCTTATCCATTCACATTGCTGCTGGCTCAAAACATGGCATCAAATATTGAATGGACTTGCGGCTTCAACAATAGCACAATGCATTACACGTGCATCTCATTCATAACCAGCACCAGTCAGACCAGCAAAGCAGCAGCCAGCACCAGCTGACAGGTTGCCTATTCGGCCAAGACCGGCTGTGAACTGCCCTTCTAAAGATACAAGTCAGGAAACCACTAAGTATGTCAAGAGGAGTCTACTTGATCTTCTTCTTGGGCCTCAGCTGCACGGGGAAACAAGGGTTGGAAGGGGAGAAGGGGAATTCAGAGGATAAGGTGGCAGAACAAGGCAAGAACACTAAGGAGATTCTTCCACACGTTGCTAGAACCTCCCCTGCTCGCTACAGCCTGCCCACAAGGTCCCTACAACCTGCCCACGAGGTCGTTACTGCCTGCCAACCTGGTCGCTACAGCCTGCCCACGTGGTCGCTACTGCCTGCCCACGTGGTCGCTACAGCCTGCCCACGTGGTCGCTACTGCCTGCCCACGTGGTCGCTACTGCCTGCCCACGTGGTCGCTACTGCCTGCCCACGTGGTCGCTACTGCCTGCCCACGTGGTCGCTACAGCCTGCCCACGTGGTCGCTACAGCCTGCCCACGTGGTCGCTACTGCCTGCCCACGTGGTCGCTACTGCCTGCCCACGTGGTCGCTACTGCCTGCCCACGTGGTCGCTACTGCCTGCCTACCTGGTCGCTACAGCCTGCACACCAGGAACTACAGCATGCTGCTACAGCCGGCCTGCTTGGTGTGGCCGCACTTCTTCTTTCTGCAGTTCAAAGCGCGCGGGAGCAGGCGGGCTTAACCTGTTGCTGCCGGGATACTGCGCCTATTGGTCACTACAGCCTGCCAGCCTGAGCGCTACACCCTGCCGCTACAGCCTGCCCAACTGACTGCTACAGCCTGTCCAACTGCTTGGTGTGGCCGCACCTGCAGTTCACAGCGCGCAGGTGCAGGCAATCGTGCCCTGCCTACCTGGTCACTACAGCCTGCCGCTACAGCCTACCTGCCCACCTGGCAGCTACAGCCTGCCCACCTGGTTGGTGTGGCCGCACTTCTTCTTCCTGCAGTTCACAGCGCGCGGGTGCAGACGAGCGTAGCACCTGGACGGGCGGGGTGGGGGAGGCGGGGCAGTGAGGAACAATGAATAAAGCGTGACCGATTTGCGGCTGAGAGTTGTGCTCGCTATAAAACGAAAGTCTTGTTGGTACAGGAAAACAAAACAGTACACTCTAACACATCATCTTGTTGTGCTTGCCAGCGAGCGCCATGAGAGAAGCTTTATACTCGTTAAATAACGTTCCAATAATCCCTTTTGACCAACAAACTCACTTGCGGCAGATCATCTTATCGGCGTTGTACTTGCGAGCGAGCGCCATGAGAGAAGGCTCGATGATTCCTCCTCGCAGCCGCAGCACCAAGTGCAGCGTCGACTCTGATATAACAGAGAGTTGCGGGGGATTCGAGTAGGTTGAGGGGAAGAAGAGAAAGAAGGGGTGAGACGGGGTAAGAGGGGTGTAAGGGATACCAGAGACGACTTTTGCATGGACTAATGGTACCAAGAGTAGAAAAGAAGGGCGATCGTGATAGGGAAGGCATTGCAACAGAGAAGTGAGGCAGCGCAACCGAAGAAAACGGAGAAGGAGGAGGTAAGGGAGGAGGCGGACAAAGGGATGCAGGAGGAGACGGGAGGGGAGGGAAAGGGCGGGTGGTGTGGGGGGGGGGTGAGGGGGGTGGGGGAGGAGGGGTGGCGGAGGAGGGATGGGGGGAGGAATTCATGCGAATAATCAGCATGATGCATCACCAACATTGTCAGCGTAAGTTTTTTCACAAACTCACCCTTCTGGATGTTGTAGTCGGCAAGCGTGCGGCCATCCTCGAGCTGCTTGCCGGCGAAAATACAACAGAAGGTGACGACCATGACAGAGGAGACAGCGAGCCTGTATAGAAAAAGCACTCGCGAACTCACCCTTCTGGATGTTGTAGTCGGCAAGCGTGCGGCCGTCCTCGAGCTGCTTGCCGGCGAAAATCAGCCGCTGCTGGTCGGGAGGGATGCCTGGAGGGGCATAGAGTAACAGGGGAGATTAAATACCGGGAACAAAAAAAGGAGGGGGAAGGTGGGGGGGGAGGGTGCGGAAAACTGGGTGGGCGGAAAACTGAGCAACGACCTGTCGCTGCTCAAATGCTCCAGCTTTACCCGTACTAACTCGAAGTCCGGACGGTGAGCGCATACATGCGAAATCGCGTACTTCAATAGAGCGTTTAGCGCGAGGGTAACGCGTCACGGTTGACTTAAGATTTCACGTTCAAAGCGACGCCTCATACTTCTGACGATTCTGAAAATAATCGTTCGCAAGAACCTTATACAGAAACCTCATCCCCATTCGCAGGAACCTCTACAAGCAAGGTGAAGCCTCACGCTAGATCTCCGTCCCCATCCCCATCTGCAAGACTTTCCAGTATCCGTACTCGCTTATCGGCACGCACGCAACTGATTCATACACGAATCGTGTACCACCCGCCTTCTGGAGGAACTGTTTCAAGCATAAACTTCAACGGCCTGCTTCAATATCTGACTAAATAGAGTACCAACACCGTTACTAGAGTGTAATCCGCGTTACATATATCGCGTAATGTGACCAGTAGGATGAGTCAGCACGCGAGAGAAACGACACAATAGAGGAAAAAAGAATGATAAACAAAAGAGAAATTTCCACAATCTCAAAGCCTCAATCAGCAACTCATAATGAAATTCGCGACTCACCCTCCTTGTCCCGAATCTCGGACTTGATATTGTCCAATGGCGTCGCTAGTGTTAAGACGGTCAGTGCAATACACGAATCCAACGATAGGAACACCTACATAAAAATCCGCGACTCACCCTCCTTATCCTGGATCTTGGCCTTGACATTGTCGATGGTGTCGCTGCTCTCGACCTCGAGAGTGATGGTCTTGCCCGTCAGGGTCTTCACGAAGATCTGCATCTTGCTCACCGCTCAGCACCGCTTTGTACCTGCACGCACCGTCGGTGAGGATCGACTATTAAGCAATAGAAGCACCAAGACACCTTCAATATATGATTAAGAATAATGGGTAAAGGGAATGAAACGGCCGACCTAGACGATCCCTGCTGATAGTCATAGGGGTCGAGCGACAAACCCTAGGTTAAAGGACTAAACGTACGTTGGCGGAACCCTCGTCCAAACTGAATTGAGAACCTGTTTCTCGATTCGAGATTACGTATCACCAAACAATATACAATGAATACTCCGTGCCTAACACGAGCTACGCGAGAAGCGGGAAACCTAAACTCTTACCTGAGTGAGGGGGATTGGAGGAAACCAGAGAGAGGGGGAAGGAAGCGAAAGGTGGAGAAGAAAGGGAAGGAAGAAGGGGTTGGGAGGGAAGGAGGCGTGATAGTACACACCGTGACAACAACGAGAGGGCACAAGAGTTTTCTTATGGAGGATGGACATCTGCTGTCGTTTTCACGAACTCTGGCGGGAGGTCACGAATTCAAGCTTCTGGTAACACCCTGCTAAACCCTGCGCACGGGGTATGGTTTGGGAGGCGCCAATGCCAGAAACAAAGCATCGACTATTTGGGATGCGCAAATCACTGGCGGTTGCTCTGAGTTTGTTCGTGGACGTGACCATTTCACGCGCCAATCAGCGCGAACATTGAACAGAAATAATTTACCCATTGTACATTATTTGTTTCTACTCACATACCTGTTCGAAATTGAAAACCCCCAGACTTTTGACTTCACAACAAAATTTTGATATGCCGTATTAAAATGTGTGTTTTTCGAACAGTTGTGACCAGCTGGGTATCCAAATGGATCCACATCGTCTCTACAATCACACGTGATAGCAAGGTGAGGTCAGATATTATTTAGTATCCGACAAAAGGTACTGGTGGCTTTCACAGACAGTAAATCAGTAACTAATGGTACGCAGCAGCCTCGGCTTTAAGCTCCTCAATGAATTCCGCAACAGACTTTGTGCCATGAACCACATTGTCCCTTGTGCGAACATTCACCTGTTATGAAGAAAACACACATGGGAAACTTGTTATTTTGGGAAAATAATGACAGAATTGAGGTATTGGACAGTGCAAACAGTGCAACACCCAAGTCACTTCCCCGCACTACCAGCCAAGCTCAACTCACCGAGCCCTGTGCCTCCTCCTCAGCTCCCACCAGAAGGATGTAGTTGAACTGACTTCCTCTTTGCTGCTACTCCATGCTCCGTCATGCTTCGCCATACTCCCTCATACTTCCTCTTATTCCCTCATACTCCCTCAGCTCTCTTAACGTTCTCAACTCACCGAGCCTTGTGCCTCCTCCTCAGCCCCCACCACGAGGATGTAGTTGAACTGAGCCAGCTGGACTTCATGCTCCCCTGCCCCATACTCCCGCATCTCCCCCATCTCCCTCATCTCTCTCAGGCTACAAGTCAAGTTCTCAATCAACTCACCGAGCCCTGCGCCTCCTCCTCAGCTCCCACCACGAGGATGTAGTTCAACTGAGCCAGCTGGACTTCATGCTCCCCTGCCCCATACTCCCGCATCTCCCCCATCTCCCTCATCTCTCTCAGGCTACAAGTCAAGTTCTCAATCAACTCACCGAGCCCTGCGCCTCCTCCTCAGCCCCCACCACGAGGATGTAGTTGAACTGAGCCAGCTGGGCTTCCCCCCAGTTGGGCCACCTGAGTCATTGCCACCTCTGCCTTTCCATGATCCTCATATCTCCCCCATCCCCACCTGAAGCAACCCGTCAAGCTCAACTCACCGAGCCCTGTGCCTCCTCCTCAGCGCCCACCACGAGGATGTAGTTGAACTGAGCCAGCTGGGCTTCCCGCACCTGTGACAGTAGCGGGTGTGACAATAACGGGTGTGTCAATAACGATAGATAAAAACGGGTTTAGCAAATAAAGGTGCGAGAACACAGGTGCAATGGACAGCATCATCAGATGTGCAACGGTCGAGCGTAACAGCGTAACCAGAAAACGAACCTTCTTCTGAAGCTTCCGGTCGGAGAGATCGGCCTCGACATCAAAGCCGGCAGCATGGATCTCATCCCGCACCTGCAGGGAACATAGCAAATTAAAGATCAGATTTAAACAAGTTTTGAGTCGACTCAAAACTGGCCTCGACACCAAAGCTGGCAGCATGGCTCGCATCTCGGACCTGCAGTGTGGTGTGGGGGAGGGGGGGCATGTTATAAGGAGGTTGTTTGAGGCGCCACAGAAGATTTTTTGAGACGGATTTTGAGGCGCCTCAAGCATCGGCCTCGACATCAAAGCCGGCAGTGTGGATCTCATCCCGGACCTGAGAAAGCATATCACAATCACGACGAAACATAAACAGTACGATTTCTGAAGCGCCTCAAAACAGCTTCCTGTCGGAGAGATTGGCCTCAGCATCAAAGCCGGCTGCATGGATCTCATCTCGGACCTGCAGTAACGATGGCATGGGGAAGATGGCATAAGGTGGGAAATGGCAATTGAGAGTGAGAAAGAGAAAGGTTACAGCAGGCATTGACTTCAAAGCCGGCAGCATGGATCTCATCTCGCACCTGCAGTGTGGAGTGTGGGGGAGAGATGATGGTGTGGGGAAAATGATGGCATGGCTACTAACCTTGGTGGCGTATTGGGAGTACTTTTCGGAGACGGGGCACACGGTGACCTGGCGAGGGCTCATCCAGAAAGGCCACATGTGTGGTCCATGCACCACCTATCACAGGAACAAGCCATCCTCCTGGTCACACAGCTACTGACCTTGGTAGCGTATTGAGAGTACTTCTCAGAGACGGGGCACACGGTGACCTGGCGGGTGCTCAGCCAGAAGGGCCACTTCTGAGGTGCATGCACCACCTCTCACAGTAACAACCCATCTTAGTCAAACGACTAGCGTATCCAAGCTTAGCCGTCCCACTTACTAACCTTGGTGGCGTATTGGGAGTACTTCTCGAACACGGGGCACACGGTGACCTGCCGGGGGCTCAGCCAGAAGGACCGATTGTGGTGCGTGCACCTTTCACAGAGGAGTAGCACAAGGAGGGAAGGAGCAACCCATCCTCGCCACTTACAGGCAGTGAGAAGAGCGTACCTTGGACTCAAAATCGTACCTTGGTGGCGTATTGGGAGTACTTCTCAGAGACGGGGCACACGGTGACCTGCCGGGGGCTCAGCCAGAAGGGCCACTTGCCGGCGAAGTGCTCCAGCAGAATGGCAAACATGCGCTCCACTGAGCCCAGGATGGCACGGTGGATGATCACCTGATATAAGCGGGGGGAGGAAAGCAAGGGAGAGGGATGCAAGACATGAAATGAAGGAGGGGGCTCTTTAGATGTCTTCACTAGTGCTCCAGCAGAATGGCAAACATGCGCTCCACTGAGCCCAGGATGGCACGGTGGATAATGAACGTGCGGACTGGTCTGCTGAGCTCAGATCAGAAGAGACTCACCGGTCGCTTCCTCCCTGCGGCCTCGTCGTCAGCAGAGTATTCCAGTTTGAAGCGGATGGGCAGCTGGAAGTCGAGCTGGATGGTGGCGCACTGGTGCTTCCACTTTGGGCTTCCGGGCTCTCAACACTGAACACGAAGATCAGATTGGACTCACCGGTCGCTTCCTGCCGGCTGCCTCGTCGTCAGCAGAGTATTCGAGTTTGAAACGAATGGGCAATTGAAAGTCGAGCTGGATGGTGGCGCACTGGTGCTTCCTCTTGAGCGCATCATACACCGTGATGTCAATCTTGGGCCCTTCAAACCCGTAGAACCCGTAAAACGGCCCACAAACAGACACCTGGCAAGGGCTTGCCTCACTTCACACACACATACCGGTCGCTTCCTCCCTGCTGCCTCATCATCCGCGGAATATTCAAGCTTGAAACGAATAGGAAGTTGGAAGTCGAGCTGGATGGTGGCGCACTGGTGCTTCCTCTTGAGCGCATCATACACCGTGATGTCAATCTTGGGCCCGTAGAACGCCCCGTCGCCCGCGTTGATCTGCCACGGCCTCCCGAACGCGTTTAGGGACTGGGTGAGGGCGGCTTCTGCCCTGTCCCACGTCTCCACTTCCCCAAGGTGCTTCTCTGGGCGCTGGTTGGGGGGTGGGAGGTGGGAAGTGGGAGGGAGGGGAGGGGAGAGACGGCACAGGGTGAGGCGAGTCATTCCCCCCTGCGTGCTTCCTCTTGAGTGCATCATACACCGTGATGTCAATCTTGGGCCCGTAGAACGCCCCGTTGCCCGCATTGATCTGCCACGGCCGCCCGAACGCGTTCAGCGATTTCGTGAGCGCGACCTCGGCTCGATCCCACGTCTCCACCTCCCCCAGGTGCTTCTCTGGGCGCTGAATGGGGAACGGGAGAGGGGGAGGAGAAACGCGTTCAGCGACTGGGTGAGGGCGGCCTCTGCCCTGTCCCACGTCTCCACCTCCCCCAGATGCTTCTCTGGGCGCTGAATGATTGATTGGGAAGTGAGGATGTGGGTATGGAAGGAGAGGGGGAGGAGAAACGCGTTCAGCGACTTGGTCAGGGCGGCCTCTGCACGGTCCCACGTCTCCACCTCCCCCAGGTGCTTCTCTGGGCGCTGGAGGAAAGGAAGAAAGGGTGGGAGGTGGGAGGTGAGATGGAGAGGAGATGGCACACAGTGGGGCTGTTGATCTGCCACGGCCGCCCAAACGCGTTCAGCGATTGGTGAGGGCCGCCTCTGCGCGGTCCCACGTCTCGACTTCCCCCAGATGCTTCTCTGGGCGCTGAATGGGGAACGGGAGAGAGTGGGAGGTGGGGTGGGGTAGGAGGAGAGAGAGAAGGCAATCGTACACAGCAACTTGGTGAGGGCCGCCTCTGCGCGGTCCCACGTCTCCACTTCCCCCAGATGCTTCTCTGGGCGCTGGAGGAAAGAGAGGAGTGATAGGAAGTGAGAGGGGGGGAAGGTAAATCATACACACAAAGTGACTTGGTGACGGCGGCGGCCTCCGCCTGTCCCACGTCTCGACTTCTCCCAGGTGCTTCAGTGTATGTGTACTCACCGCCGTAGACATGCGGACGTGGGACGTAGAGAGCTCGAGGTCGAAGGTGAACCCGAAGATGCCGTAAACAGTCTGCAGGAAGTGGAGCACGTCACCCACTTCCGCGTCCACCCACCCCCACAGAACCACCCATCCGCCCACCCACCTACAACAACCCTCCCAGTCGCACACATACATAGGGCCATTACTCACCGTAGACAGCTCGAGGTCGAAGGTGAATCCAAAGATGCCGTAGACTGTCTGCAGGAAGTCGAGCACGTCACTGACTTCCCTCCATGCTCACACGCGCATGGTCAGACACACTGAATTCACGAGTATCTGTGCTCACCGTGGAGAGCTCCAGGTCGAAAGTGAACCCAAAGATGCCGTAGACGACCTGCAGGAAGTCCAGCACATCGCTCACTTCCGCCTCCACCTGGCTCTCCTCACAAAAGATGTGCGCAT